CTCACTACAATTATCCTCAGGTGGTAACTCTTCCCGACTAAAACAAGCTACTACACCAGGTCCAACATAAGCTTTTAATCTGTTAATGTGTACAGTCATTTGGGGTTCTGAAAGATTAGGGTTAATTAGTTTATAAGTTAGGTCTCCCACCTTGTCTACCACTTGGTAGGGTCCTGCGAACTTATGGGACATGGAAGTCCCCATACGAGGTTTCAACACCAACACCAAATCTCCGACATCAAACGACCTTAGCTTAGCCTTGAACTTCTTGTCATATCGTACTTTCATGGCTTGTTGAGTCCTTCCCAGATGTTCTTTCGCCAACTCACGAGCCCGACACAACTTAGCCTTGACCTCGCTCAAGTACAATCCGCTCTGATGAACAGAGACATCTCCCAACAACTTTTCTTGTAGCATTTTAAGAGGACCTCTTACTTGGTGACCAAACACTAGTTCAAAGGGTGAACAGCCCAATGACTCTTGTAGCCCTTCTCTAGCAGCAAACAACACAAAGGGGAGATTCTCATCCCAATTACGTGGATGAGTTTCTCCGGTTGTCTTCAGCATTTGTTTCAAAGTCTGGTGGAAACGTTCAAGTCCACCTTGGCTTTGTGGATGATATGGACTGGACAATTTGTGCCGAATCCCTCGGGATTCGCAAAAAGTTCTGAAAACTTTAGAAACAAAATTTCCCCCATTATCACTCTGAATAACTCTAGGCATTCCAAACAACGAAAAGAATCTTTCAAGACACTTGATGAGATTATGAGCCTTGGTATTCCGTAGAGCATAAGCTTCAGGAAATCTAGTAGTCATACACATGAGAGTGAACAAAAACATGTTACCCGATTTAGTCTTAGGTAAAGGACCCACACAATCAATTACAACATGAGTAAATGGTTCATCAGGAACTACAATAGGTTGCAATGGTGCTCTAGGTACAGATTGATTTGGTTTACCAACAATTTGACAGGGTATACAGTTATGACAATATCTGACCACGTCTTTCTTTAACTTTGGCCAGAAAAAATATTTACTTATCTTATGGTACATATTCGTGATACCTTGATGACCTCCCATGGGGTCATCATGTGCAGCCTGCAGGACCTGCCTACGATAATCATTGGGGACAACGAGTTGGGTTCTAATCTCACAATCCTCTGAAGAGGGAGTTCCCTTGGGTCTCCACCTTCTCATCAGAAGTCGATCCTTGAAGAAGAAACCCGTCCCTTCCTCCAATGCATCAATTTTATCAGGAGCCTCAGAAATACACTTATTTAAACTAGGATCAGTAGTCTGTACAACACTTAAGGGCAATGACTCAGACTCAGCAGCGAGCGGGCAAGAACCTAGTAGCTTGATCTCTTTTCCCGATTGATCGGAATAAAATGGAGTCATAGCTACTTCGGCCTCACTCTCGACAACTGGCGCACTGGAGACAAGCGGGCAAGGTACAGATAGTTCAGCCTCCTCACCTTCACTTTCCTTGTGATTTAGGTTCGGCGGGGCTTCTACTACGACCTCACTCTCATCATCCAGTCGAGTCATAAAAGAATCCTCAAGATCCACCTCCCACTCCTTTACTGAAGGGGTCCTGGTCTTGGGATCAGCAACCTTAGTGAAGACAGGATTACTCTCACCTGTTTTTCCCATTGATCTAGTAACAACACAAGCAGGGTAAATAATATCATCATCTGCTTCCGGTTGAGCTAATACATTATGGGGTTTAGTTAACATGATGGGACACTTGGGCCCTACAACCATTTGGTTGCCAAAATCATTACCTAGAATAATGTCTACCCCAGGAATGGGCAGTTGTTTACTTACACCAACATTACACCATCCTGAAGTATATTTAGAATCAAGGTTAACTTGCAATAAGGACACTGGTTGCACACTTCCGGCAATACCCTGGAGAAGCACAACTTCACCCAGATCTCGGGTGTCAACATCATCAAGTACCTTCTGGGTAATAAGAGACTGTGAAGCTCCAGTATCACGGAGTAATTGAACAGTCTTATGTCTACCATTAGTACATAATAAGGTACCTGTGGACATATAGGGTTTGAATTCAGCCATCCAATTGGGACTGACTGTAATACATGAAGAATTAATAGGTTGCACTCCTTTACTCATAATAAGACCAGTTGGTCGGAGTTCAGGATGCAAACTAAAACATGAAGAAATCACATGCCCCCTTCTCTTACAATGGGTACAATGTTTGACAGTGGACACACTGGTATAACCAACTGCCGGTTTAGAATTAGCATTACTAGGCTTAGATGATCCTGGCAATGGAGTAACCATCTTAGGGGTAGTAAGAGAAGAGTTCACGGGAGTAACTGTCGCACCAGGAGGAGACTTATACTGATAAGGAGTACGGTGAGCATTGAAATTTACTCTACGACTAGACTTAGGTGAAGTGGCCATAAACGGGGCCTTAGTCAGCAACTCATGCTCATCCGCGAGCTTTGACAGCTCATCAATATCGGTTACATTCTTTTGTTCCGCCATAAAAGTAGACAACTGGTCTGGAAGACAGGACAATACTTCTTCCATTATGAGAAGATTCTTTAGAGCATCAAAATCAGTGACTGCAAGTGACTTTAACCATCTGTTGCAAAAATTCGTCTTCTGACGAGTAAAATCGGCTATTGTCTGATCCTTGATTCTCCTTAGGTTCCTGAACTTTTGCCTGTGTGCCTCTGGATTTAGTTGGTATGCATTGAGGATGCTTTTCTTTACAAAGTCATAATCAAAACTATGAGCGTCAGGTAGGGATGTGAAAACCTCCTGACTACGCCCCTTGAATTGAGACTGCATAATGGCTACCCACTGATCCCTTGGCCAGTTCATACTGATGGCAATTTTATTAAAATGTGCAAAGAAAACCTCAGGATCTTCCTCATTTAACTTGGGCAACTCTATATACTTATTCATCCTGATGGGATTATTATCACTATTTGTTGAAACATTACTAGTATTTCCATGCCCAGCTGCCATACGCTGTGATTCAAGCCTGAAGTTAGTGTTAGCCATTTGTTGTTGAATCTCTAATTGCCTAGTTTGTTCCTCGGCTTGTTGCTTCTTTGTGGCTTCAAGTTGCAACTCAATTAAACCTCTCTGGTTTTGTGCCGCAATTTCTAAACGCCTAGTCTCCAGCTCCCTTTGCTGAGCTTCAGCTTCTAATATTTGCTGTTGCTGCTGAGCTTCAATCTCTCTTTGACGAGCTTCAGCCTCTAATATTTTCTGTTCTTTTTGAGCTTCAAGCTCTAATTGGCGAGCTTCTAACTCAAGACGCTTTAACGTCATCTGATCACTCGACTCCTCTCTTAACTCCTCTAGAATTTCGTCATCTAAATCCCCATTCTCAACAAAATGCGTCACAATGACTTTCAATATTTGGGCTTTAACCATTCTATTGCTGGCGGTCAAATCCAAATGATTTGCCATTTGTATTAACTCAGTCTTTTTAAGGTTCTGAATCCCTTCAAAGTCTGGGTGAGCCACCAACGCTGCAACTTTCTCCTCCATCGTTACTAACACTTGGCACTTAATTCACAACAATAATTAAACACAATGGCACTGCACTACACTTCACTGTAAAATTGTCACCACACTGAAAATTCGCTTGGCCTCACTGCACAAACAAAATATATAGGATGACTTACCTCAAAATCGTGAAACGTTGTTACTTGACACACAGGAAGGCTTGCTTGGCACATGGAATAGTTCTTAAGAAACACACAGAGACACTTGACACTGGTACCTAGGAAGGCAAGGTTAGATTAGCATAGTTAAGTTAAGTGGGACAATATTTCCCGGCACAGGCCCCCATAACTCTTTGTTACCTATCGTACGTTACGGCTCGTGATCCTACAGCAGCCAACTTTAATAAGTCTAGGGATACGACACAACTGCTGTTCTCAATAGCGAATCCCCAGTATAACCCCTTGACAGGTAATGAGCATAAAATAGAATCTTCATAGGACTGAAGAATAAAGACTAAGATACATATATAATATTATATTAAATAAATCTCAAAAGCAAACAGATGATTATATGGTCACAATATATATCACATTAAAAATATCACTGTACTTCCAGACATTAAATTAATAATATATAAGTATGGCTATTATAGAACAAAAGAATGACTTATCTCCAAAATGTTGTTCTCTCCCTGGCTTCTGCTCAGCTACTAAACAAGATCACGCGAGAATCAAAACAGATTGCCTCGCCCCGCGAATAAATTGCCAAAGTTACAATTATTAATATTTCAACAATGGAGCACTACATTGTGACAAGAGTAATCTTAAACTAACTTAAGGAATAATTAGTACATATTGATATACACAAACAAAAGGTAATTATTCTTTACATAGTAATTAAAATATGCATACAGAATAGCATAATGGCATGCACACCCCAGCAACGGACGATCCCACGACAATTTGCCAGATACAGTTCACTCAATTATTATTTCACTGTTACCCACTTATGATCACATATAAATTATTAGTTCCCGTGGGAAAACTGATCACACAAAGAAATAAACAATCATTCCCACGATACGCTGGGCCTAACGCCAACACTGTAACATGAATGTGCATTTGTATAGAACATAAGTATAATAATATACATGCTTGTAATTTACATACAATTATAAATGTACATATTAATATATTCACTTACGTATCTTATAAGGGTACGTAACACCAAATCTTTTTCTTACTTTTAGATATTTTGTTCAATATACAGGTACCTATAGTATATTCAAAGAGTTCATTAATTTTTAGTTAAAAAAATTAGATGCAAGTTTTTATTTAAGGTGGCCAATGACTGGCAACCATCCAAGAGGGTATAGAAATCGTGTACTGTAGAGTACTGTACAGTATTTGAACTAAAAAAAAATAATGTTTATTAAGCATTGGTTTTATAGCAATAAATTAAATGAATGCTGTTTTTGTAGCAAATAAGCATTTTTTTCTCCGTCTTAGCAGTAAGATGGAGGTGTCAGCCGAGCAGGTGGAGCAGGCTGTGGTGGAGTTTTATCGGGATCCTGTGTCCAAGAGTGGACTTAATGCCTGGTTAATGCAAGCCCAACACTCTCGCCACTCCTGGACCTTTGCCTGGCCACTATTGGATCCAAGAAAGGTATGAGTAATGTACATTTCAATTGTTATTACTGTTCTAGTAACACTAAAATTACCGTACATTTTGTTAACTTTCACCATGGAAATTAATTTAGTGAAGGACACTAAAAAACTGAAAATATTTAACACATCTTTCAGTGAGCATGGAAAGTACTGTGCAGTACAATAATATGACACTCGGCAGTTGAAAAACTTGGTTACCTTCCTGTGACTAGGGATCGATTTAGTAGAGGGTAAGGAAGGATTGGATTTGCAACACCTCCACTTTGTCATTTATGGGTCATTCACCCTCTATTGCTCTTCTAGCTTTATGCACTGATCTTGTTATATCCTTCTCAAGAATAAAAACTACTAGTATCTTGAGAAATGATCTTGTCCTAGCTGTTAATAGGCCAGGGAGCTTAGTGGGAGTATATCTCAATCCTCCATAATGTAACTGCTCGCTACAACACACACAAACCCTTGAAATCCCTCAAAACTCTTAAAGTGACGCTGGGGAGACTTTGATAATTTTGTTAGGTTTAAAGCGAGTTGCCAAGACTTGCTGTAAACCTAACGAGACAACCCAACGAACCTTGCCATCACCAGATGAAACATCTAGCATATACCAGAGCCAGGGAAGGGAGGCCAGTGTGTAATATGCCTATCACTTGAGACCACCCAGTTATGGCAGAAACCTATTGCTCAGATAAGTTGAATGTGATTTTCCTTATGCTGATGAGCTGGGTTCAGGCTTGGCACAAGGTGTATTTTACGATTCACTTTACAGACTTCGTGCTTACATAGCATGCGTCTGTTTATACCAGTCTGCTTTTAATTTATTTCAGGGCATGCCTTTCCTTGATTTCTTGAGACTATTAGCACAACTCTGGTAGTTTGTCCTCCTTTTGCAATGGGTTTGCACTGTGGTGTGATTACACTATAGAGATTTGGCCTCCAGTTGAACCCTTTGCAGCAGTTTTATAAAGTATTTGCCCACTATTTCCACAACAGTTTGGTTGGGTGGCCATGTGCTGAACCCAGTATACCAAGCTTAAGTTATTTTTACCACTGTGTGTCGTATGTTTAGAGCTTTGGTGAAGACTAGCTGACTATACTTCTTGTGTGGCCATCCTTCTAACCTGGATTGTACCTGAAGTTGACCATTTAATATTGAGAATTGGCGAACACCGTAGCAGGCCTGTCAGCCTGTAGTAGGTGGTCCCAGGCATCCGGAAGGTTTGTTTACCTAATATTTTAACCATATGAGGTTTTGGATAACTAGTTTACATCCTGAATTTTGTGGCATGCAATTTTCTGTGACGTCTATTTTTGTCTCTGGTCATCTTTCTTCTGACATGTCTTTTGTTGACTCCAAGGTTTTCTTTATACCATGAAAGAATAATGGGAGTTGTATGTGGTCTTTGATTTTGGTGACTCCTGAAGCAGCTGCCCGTTTGTGGGCTTATGCCTTGTGGTTAGGTTTTTGGCAGTACCCATCTTTAGCAGGCAGGGATGGGGACTGAGCACTAAAATATTGAGATTCTTTAAGCCTTGCCACTTGCCCACCTGTTGCTTTGTTCAGGATGGTCGTCCTGGTCAAAGGGTATTTCCGAGAATTGTTTGTCTTGTTTCTTTGTTATTTAAGTCACGGTGAAAGAAAGCTCACTCAGATTAAAGCCTAGTGCTGCAGAGTCTGCCGTTACTGCTTACAGCAGTCTTGGTGATTCCATTCATTGTTTTATTCAGGTGGGCTGTCCATATCCCAGTTTTTTCGGGATCATTTACCAGTTTTCTCAGTTGGCTGTGTCTTGATGTATTCCCTGTGTACAGTATAACCAATCCTGCATCCTACCCTAACCCATCAATGTATGGGTGGCATTCACTTGTGCAGATGTTGACAAAAATAGTAGCATTTAAAGTAAAGGGCCTGTATTATGGAATACAAGTTTGGATTCACTGATGGCAAATCCTGCCTGGTGAACCTGATAGAATTCTGGAAAAGGTTGACAGAAATTGGGCAGAACAGGGAAGGTTGGGTACACCACATATTTTTGAACTGTCACCAACCCATACCAGCAACCCATTAACATGACCAACTAATTTCCATTATAGATTTCTCCATCTGCATGTTCATATTGCACAAAACATTTACACTATACAGTAAATACAGTTTAAAACTAAATGTTTCACCGAGTTTCATAGCTGTATTTTTAAGAATGCTGTATGTGGTATTTCCTAATATTTGTAATACAAGATATACCTGGCATTAGGTACGTTTCCATATTGTTTTTGAATGGCATAAATACAAACAATTATACTGTATAAATTTTGTGTTGTTGATTGCAATATCTTTTTTCAGCCTGAAGAAGTGCAGTTTTTTGCTGGGAACACTGTATATATGAAGGTGTCAAGATACTGGCATGAAGTTCTAAAAGAAGATTATGAACCGCTTAAAATAAAGATTTTAAACCTTATTGCACAATATAGTAATTCTAAAGTGATCCTCAATAGACTAGTTAAATCTGTAAGCATGATGACTACTGTATATGTTTATCTTTGATTGATAAAATAATGAAAAACTGAATAATAATAATGCTGAAACAATCCCCAAAGTGTAGTGTACAATCTATAGATATACAGGGTGTCCACATGGAAACTACTGTATTAAGCTTTAAATTAAAGCATTGTCTATGAATACAATATACATTTATTGTGCATAGTGGAGATTTGTTTGTTTTTAATTTAAATAAGTGTTAATTTAGGATGTTAATTTACCCTGAATTCTGTGCATAATGCTGTGGTTTTATGCTATATACCATGTGGTATACACCCTGTATGTATTTTTTGCCAAATATTTACTGTAGTAGGGTAAGTGAAATGTATCTACCATTTCAGTTAGGAGCGTATGTTATCCACACAATTCAATCGGATTGGACGACGGCCATACAAGATATTATAACCATGTTTGACCCAGGAACAGTATCGGGCATAGAACCATCTACAGCACTAAATCTGTTGTTTAGTATACTTACTGTGATACCTGAGGAAGTGAGTATTACATACTGGTTGTATTATTTAATATAAATACTTCACCTAGGTCTTGATTTGGTTTAGACGTGGCTCATAATTACAAATATATCGGGATAGTAAATGAAGTGGTTTAAAGTTGCATGGAAAGTTCAGGGCAGTTACACTGGTATTACCACACACACACCTTGGTTAGCAATAAATGGATGATTGTTTAGGATGCATTACAGTACCAGCTATGCACTCCTCTAAGAAATAACTTTCCTGCTGCTTCTAATAGTAAGAATTGATGATCACACGACTTAATAATGGTCCAGGCGGACTGAAACGTCGTTGTTTCTCTTTCCGATGTGTGATTTGGTCATCATGTATATTTTCAGCCACGTTATTCAGCCATCATATCTTCTGCATGCTGACTAGTATATGCATATACTAGTCAGCACATTATATACATATAATGTACTGTAGATACATATAGACTATAATTAGGAGGCAGGGCCCTAGAACTTTGCTCCATCCAAACTCGATGCTTAACCATGCCCCAACAATACCAAACCACCACCACCACCACCCACCAACTATACACCCAACTACACCTATACCTCACTCGTACTACTACACATACACACACACACACACACACACCTAGTCACCCTCATATACAGTATATACATACTCGACCACCCACACTCTGTCACACCAGCATTTAGATACTGCATTCAACTTGTACAAGCAAATTAAAAAAAAATCTCCCAGAACTAGGGCACATTGCTGCCTAGCTTGCAGTTGTCCTATCCTCGGGGAAGAGTTGTTACAGGCTTTAATGTGGAAAACTGATTTGCGTTGTTTTAGATCACACTGGTATGTGTACCCTAGTTTTAAACCCCTTATAGAGAGTATGGGAATGTCTTCTTTGATTGCCCATATTTGATTTTCCTGTTTTGATTAATTTAACTTGATCTGCATTTCATTTTGAGTTCGGTCTATATCATCTTTATCCCATATCTTGCTGTCAAGGGCAGGGGTTGCACTAGCCTAGAGATAAATGGCGATACTATAATAAAAAAAAAGTTTCTTTATAAACTCCAAAATGCTCATTTGTCGTTCGCCATCCTGTACTGTTTAGCATCGTGGATAAATGGTCACCACCACTCTCCAGGAGACATCCATAGCTGCTCCTTGCCACTTCATAAGACAAGTTGTACTCTGATGCTTGTGAATAGTCATGTAAAAAAAAAAAATTTCACTGCTATTCATCATTTAATGTGTGTGTGTTAATCTAATGATTAAACATGTGTCTACAGGATGTTTTCCTTTTTTTACCACAGCTTGAATCTATGCAAGAAGCCATGAGTATAAACAGTAAAGACAAACAGATCATAACGGGTTCCATCAGAAATAGTCATCAGTCGGGTAAGAGTGTGACATTGGTAGATCTCTTTTCTTTTGTATTGATATTTAAAAATATGAAAATTAAGAGCTGGCCTATAGGAGTATGTATGGCAGGCTCTGTTTGCACTAGTGCTGAAAATATTGAAGTGTATTTGTAAGTGTCGATATTATTACCGTATTTCCATCAGTAGAGTATTGTTGTTACTTGGATGTTATTACATAAGATATGTAGAGAATGATTTGTCTGAATTATGTACTTTCAACACTTGTTTTTTGTTTTAGTCTTGAGCCTGATCTCCCAAGTGATGCAGGCTGGACAGGTTAGCAATGTGATTAAGGAGGTGGTACTCAAGACTTTAAATGCATGGCTCAAGCTCTCCCTTCCTCTCTCCGAAACAAGGGACCTACTAGTGGCTCTCATACCTTACTCCAATTATGCCCTTCTATGTGAAGTGAGTGATATTTGACACTGTCCAGCAATATGGTAATATATGGTTTGATATTCTAATATTCTAGGAATTCTAAATTACAGTATGTGCATGTTGTATAAATTGTTTAAAATTATAGCCTGTGATGGATGCCATACGGACAGCAGTGACGGACGTTGGTACTTACAACATTCCCAACACGGTGATGGATTTTGTTACGCAGATGCTTGGTCTAACTCCTGTATTGGAAGAAGCGCAACATGCTAATGATGAAGTAAGCATGAATCACCTGTGTGTGCATTTGTTTGATAAATTGTGTAAATGATAGATAATTTTGTTTTGTAGAATTATTTTTTCCTCCCCCGTTTCTTTTATCCCGTTTTTCTTGTATATGGGAGTACAAAGTTCTTTCTGAATAGATGGAAAATTATAAAAAATACTTTCTAAAGCAACCTCTGAATGTTTACTTCTGCAACACTGTTTAGCATTTATTGCCGTGTCAGTCAACAAGACCCACTTCAGCTTCCTTCTCTGGAGGATGGTCATTTTTTTTTTATGATGATGAGCTGTTTGATGAGGCTAGCCTCTTGGTTTTCTGGCCCGAGGGTTTTGCCGTCCAGAAATCCCAGGGAGACTTTTCCTTTACCTTCTTAATTTTACTTTGATTTGCTTACAGGTAAATCTAGATTTTAGGATTCCAGACTTAATTTCCCAATTGGGCCCATATATTCTGTTCGTCTCGTGTTTCCTTTTTTAGTTCTAAGTTTGTGACCTTGTGGGAGGTTGGTCCCCAGTGGTTAAATGCTTGACATATTTGGGGGGGGGGGGGGAAGGGGGGTTTTCTTTGGCCTCATTTCACTTAGTCCTACTGTTTTTTATTGTCTCCAATGCTTAATTTTGGTCGGGCTATTTTATTTTATTTTTTTATTTTGTCGTTGGGGTTTTAGTTTGCTTGCTTCAGCATGGTACCTTTTCAAAAGAGGTGTATAGTTGAGCCCTATTCACACATGTATATTCTTTTTCTAGATTTATTTATACACAATTTATATTTAATGCATTGATATACATTTAAACTTTTAATTTTAAGTTTAAACTTAAATTAAAGAATTTTTAAATGATATTTACGACCAAGAAATTTGTAGACATTAACAATGTCATTTACTCAACCATCGCCAAGTTTTAACCTAGTGATAATTTTGGCATCACAACCAATTCTTTAACCTTGATGTGGCACTGCATGGACTATCAAACTTGATAATGTGCAGTGGGTTATTGATGTATCATGGAGTGGACAGGTATGATGTGATCATTTAAAGTTGTAAAGGTGTTGAGCATTATTTATCGAGTTTAACTTGCTCGTACTATAGGCAGGACAGACTGCATTGGCGGCCAATGGATATTAAATAAACATAGCCATTAATTTGAAGTATATACGCAATTTTACTGTGGCATGTCGGTGTCGTACTGGTTGCTTCCTCTATACGGTACTTTACTAATCACGTAAAAGTAACGTGTCGGTTACTTTTTGTTTAACACGTTTAGATACATCAACATTTATGCAGCTACCCTACAATATGTGAGGGGGTTACACAGCTTCAATGTGCACATGTGCAAATTTCTTTTTATTTCATAACACACACATTGAGGAGATGTACTGTAATGTGGCATGGGACACAGAGGCTTCATCTGCCAGTGATTACTGCAGCATCTTGTTTCATTGGTAATAAAATAAATTTGCTTTTGTTTTTCCACAGAACACGGCATCGTTGGTGTACAGTCTTTTTACCTCGGTGGTTGAGTGTCATTCCCGGTTACTTCTACAATGTGCACTGCAAGCTGAGCACCAGGCAACAGTGGTGCAAGTGGTTGCTCTCCTCCTCCAGTGTGCAGCCACTCCTGGACAATACCCCACAGATGAGACTACCTCTAACATTCCTTTTGCTGTATGGTTTACCATTCAGGTTAGTTTATACAAGGACTCTCTCTTTTTCTTAATACCAGTCTTCTTAGAGTACACCTGGTACACTCTATTGCAGAGTAATGTTTATTTTACATATTCCAACTAAGAAGAGAATTAAATAATTTTCAAATTCTATTTTCTACGAGTTAGTCGTGTTAAAAAAAAATACATGCTACATTGCCATAGTGATGTTAAGCTGCACAGTTGTACTGGCCTAAGAGTTTGCATATTCATTAGGGCTTAACATATCCACACTGGTCAGCTGAAGAGACTTCACTTTGTCTTTCATGCTTCATTGATTTTTGGCTCTAGCATTTGGCATTTGTGCACCATACAACATTTGAAAACTGATGTCATTCTGTGCATTATAGTTGTACGTTTTCTTTTCATACTCTACGAAGTAAATTGGTATAACAATTATGTGCTTCATTATTGTACTACTGTATCACAAAAGTAGGTTCTCCTTTAGTAAATGTTAGATGAACACTGGGGGAAGGCAATATCACCTTCCAAATGGATATTAGGGGTGGGAGAAGGGCTGAAACATCATCTGGCAAGGTTTTATTAAAATGCCTCTTTCATTGTACATACTGTAGTTCATGCAAAATACTGGTTATTCCTAATAACTTGGGGCCAGATTCAGGAAGCTGTTATGCATGCACTTGGGAACCTGTTCATCTTTTCTCAATCTTTGGCAGCTTTGTTTACAACTATTAAACGGTTAATGAGCCCCGAAGCACCAGGAGGCTGTTTATAACAATAACAATTGTTAAATGGTAAGTTTTCATGCTTGTAAATAAATGTAACCAAAGCCGTCAAAGATTGAGGAAAGGGACTCGCTCGAAACGCTTGCGTATTAGTGGCTTTAGGTATTATACGTACTAGCTCTATCTATAAATTCAACAGTTTGTAACTTGTCTACTGTGTATGTACTTTTACCTGAATAAATATTTTGAATTTTTTGAACACGTGCATAAGTACTTGCATTGCTGCTTCATGAATCTGGCCCCTGATCTTGGCCAGGCCCTGGGACTTGACACTTGGCTAGGTGCTGGGACTTGGTACTTGGCCGCGTGCCGGGTGGGGAACTTGGCCAAGTGGGTGCTTTCTCTGGCGAGACATTTCTCCTTCAGTAATATTGTTCTGGTTTAAATATTAGTTACCAAGGCTATGTTGTATCAATTTAAGTTATATTGGTATCTTTGTTTACTGAACATTGGGCTCACGGGTAGCATAATGTGTATTTAACATTCTATCTGTAAATTATTGGGAGATATGGCATGAATTGGAACCTCAGCTTGCCTATACTTCCATAAGACGTAACCGGAATTGCAATTGGCTTGAATAAAAGTGCAGGTTCAATCACTTGGATTGAACAGTAGTGATGGTCTCGCTTCTTGTAGGTGTGTGCTCAATTTCCAACTGTTCAAGTGTTTTGGCACCATTCCTTTCCTTTGTCCTATCCCAAGTCCTTATCCATTCCAAGTGCTATATAGTCATAATGGCTTAGCACTATCTCCTGATAACTACATTAAATAACTTAAATAAAAAATAAGTCGATTAGTAGATTGGTAATTAACAATGTAAATCTATTTCACACAAATAGTAATACAGGTCTCTGGTGTATTTTGCTTGTTTCCACTTTCACTCTACTCTATTAACCTTTTGAAAGGATAGTTTCCAAAATAATGGTCCAGCATTTCCAGTTTGGAAATACTGTTCGGTAATGTAATAGATAAGTCAGAGGTAGGATGTTTGAATTGCAACATTGCTCTTGTTCACAATTCTTTGTTTTCTCAGGATGATATTATGACCTTCGAGGGAGAGCAGCAGGCCGAACTGTTGACACTTTTCCAGCCTGTGTACCTGAAACTGGTGGACACTTTTATCCAAAAATCTTTATTGCCACCTGATAGTGCTCTAACTTCAGAAGAGAAGGAAATGTTTCGTTGTTACCGACAAGACATCTGTGATACTTACGTGAGTTTTTGTGATTTAGGATAGCGTTACATGTGAGGGGTGATCAATGTTATCCTGGGCTGAATATACATGTAATGTAGTTTAAACATTAGAGATGCTAAAACAAAATGAAGTACAGTATCTGAACACATGCTTGGTGCTTCATGACTCGGACTTGGCAGGTACTGCTATGATCTTTTTGTAGTGACTTTGTGTTAATCACTTGATATATTGCTGTTATTTTGGAATTTGAGATTACTGTGAATGTGTGAAGACTATTATATAAAACTAGTTACATTTAATATTACCATTAGCTGTATATACTTTATTATAAAATGTAATGTAATTATTTACATTTGGTTGCAGATGTATGCCTACTATGTATTAAGAGGAGACATGTTGAGCCACTTAGAAGTTCATCTTAAAGATGCTGTAGTGAAAATGCAGACTGATCCCAGTGATTGGAGATATTTGGAAGCTGTACTTCATGCGTATTCCTCGGTAGCCGAAACAGTTGCTGAGACCGACAACTTTTATGTACCACGATTTATTCAGAGCATACCTCAGATACCTTTTTCTGACAATATTCAACTAATATCTGTGGCATTAACAACACTAGGTTAGTAATACAACTATCTTTAATGGATTATTTTCATTATTTGATTTCCCACTTTCATGGCTGAAGTAAAGTTATAAAATAACATTGATCATTCATAAAAAAAATATTTTTAAAGAATCCACATTATTACAGGGAACCAGTGTACCACCCACTAGCAAATTGTCCATTGCAGCACCCTGCTGCTTCATTAAACTAGGTGTATAGTTATTTTCATGTCATTTACTAAACTCTTTCACAAACCATTAAAACCTGTACTGTACTTGTTTCTTACCCTTGTATATACTTTTTTTCTTGCTAGGTGATCGCCTTCCACGTAACAAAACTGTTTTGGTACATTCTTTGTCAGGAATTTTTTTCCAGCTTTTTGCATTGTCTCATTCCATGACATGTTCACTTTATCTATTCTCCTAGCAGGAGGTACACTTTATTTTCAGATTGTCTATTTCTACTCTGCATGCAATGGAATCTTGCTCGGCAAACTGTGGGGCCGTCTATTATCTCTCCTTAGCCGAGAGGTTGTCTAGAATACCAGAACCTCTTTTATTTTTCTAAAATTTTAATTTTTTCCTCTCCTAACCTCTCATTCTCTCCTTTTTGTCCCTCTTCTCTTCTGCCCTCCTTCCCTCCTGCTGCTTTTCATGATTTGGATAAATTGTTAAATTTTAATTAAAATTTTGATGGGAAATGGCCATCACGCATTTACAGATATCAACCGGTATAAAATTTATATGGTCGTGTTCGTGTATAAAAAGTACTGTATCCTCAAAAGTTTAAGAAGACTTTGTGAAATAGTTTTATTCATGCAATTGTTATCATAACCGTTAACCACTTTCATGGGATGAGGGGAGGGGGGCCCTCCCCATCCCATGAAAGTGGGAAAGTTTCTTAATCAGCTAGAAAAAAAATGAATATAGTAAAGTCATGATAATGAAAAGTAAAAAAAAAATATTAAGCCAACGTGTCCATTTGTTATATTATTCATATAGTATGTACTGTACTGTTTATGTTGGTATGTCATCACAGTTAAGCAAACATCTCCATGCTACAGGAGTCATCCTCGGTAGCACCCACTGCTGCTTTAACCTTCTGTGATTAATGTTTAATTTATTATAAATAATATTAACACTTATGCATTCTGATGATTCAAATTCAAATTTTTATTCGGGTAAAAGTACATACATAGATGAGTTACGAACATAATGGTGGATTTATAGATAGAGCTAGTACATACAATACCTAAAGCCACTAATACGCATAGCATTTCGGGCATTGATGCTAAAACGCATTATCAATACTTCGACAGTAAACGTTTTGATGATGCTAAAACGTGTCGTCCAATTGCTCTTCATAAACATACATATATTAATCGCTGTTGCACATAATCAATTAGAAACATACTTTTGTTTTTGCACCTGTTCTTTAGATAATTTACAAACCTTTTGACACCAAATTGTTATTACAGTACTTGACAAATAACTTAAAAAAAAAACGTAAAATGATTGTACTGTATTTTTTCAAATTCCTGAGCGCCCATGGCACCCAGACTGTTTATGGTTGGGAATGCATCGAGAAGCTAGACCACCGAAATGTTCAGATAGCATGGTGGCTTTTTTTTAACGAGGGAAGTTTATCCATACCCAACATTTGTGTTTGTAATGCATTATTTAAAAAAACTAAGCTCTACTGTAGACGTGAACATGGATTATGGCACTGTCATTATGCTGCTTAAATGGTATTATTTGACTCTTTCAGGTGCATACGCAGACTGGTTGAACTACCACCAAGACCACATGCACCATGTTATCCCACTAATGGTTGAAGGGTTAGTCAATGCTTCGCTGGTTGGAGCTGCGTCACAGGCCCTTCGTGACTTGACACTTGAGTGCCCCCTCACCATTTCCCCCTTTTCACAACCCATACTTAATAGTTGCCAAGTAAGTACAGTACTTAAGCTAATTTATCTTCATAAGTTTTAATATTTTATACCTAAAATCCAGTTGCTTGCATATTGTTTACATGTAGACTACTGTACACAAGAGCTAAATTCTGCATAGTAGTTCAATTCTAAGGTTAAACAGCTTATAGAAGGCACTGATCAAAATTAGTAAATACATTATGCAGAGTTGAGGTTGTATATAAAGTATTCATTTATTTACAGGTAGTTATTTAATTTTTGGTTCCAAAAGGGATTTAAAATTGAAATTGTTAAGCTTTATTTAAGGAAAAATATTAATGAATTTGGAAAACATTACTGTGCTAGAGGATTGGAAAAATGCTACAATTGCATTACGATGACCATTCCCTACTTCATATATTGTTAACTTTAATATCTGGGTAACTTGGCCAAATTACAATTGAACTCGACTGATTCATATCTAATGTATGAATCTTGATAGTTGGGTTACTGAATGACATGTGGTGGCCTATGTTTGCAAATGTGCAAATATTGTACACACACACACTGCATTAACCCTTAAATTGCGCAAAACCTCGTATGATGTGTGACATTGAACTCGGTTTTTAAATTTTCTGAAACACTTTTAAAATGTTTTGTGAATAATCTGCTAAGCAAATGCTCCAACTTTATCTAAATGATACCAGTGTAACTTGAAAAACAAGAAAATAAAAAAAATTTATAAAATTGAGTATTGAAAACTTCAGATTTTGAAATCAGCTGCAAAAATATAAAAATATCACCAACTGTTCATTTGGTGTTATGCTCCGAGTAGCATATGATCCTCATTTTCATATAATTAGAATATAGGTTTTCAGTATAGTTTACTGTAAAAAAATTTTTTGTGAATATGGCATTTGAAATATATGCAAATTTAGACAACAAAAATTTATAACTGCAAACGTTTAGAGTTTATGAAAAATCAATTCTATAGGGATTGTAGAACAGACAGCTGTGCACACTATATGTGAAAATAGTGAGAATCGGTCAGAAATTAGGTTTTTTGGATACTGAAGTAAGTCGAAATTCTAGTTATAGATATAATTGAAGTTGAAGTTATTGACAATGAATAAGGCAGTTATAATTCATGAATTTACTTGTACAGGCATACCTCAGAATAAGAGTTTAATCCGTTCCTGGAGACGCCTCGCCTTCCGAAAACTCGCATTCCGAAGTTAATTTCCCCATAAGAAATAAAGGGAAATGAATTAATCCGTTCCTGACTACCCCAAAAACCCCACATCAAACTAAATTTTTATACCTAATTTACCTAATTCATCTAAATAAACCTACAAAACTGTGTTCCAGTTATTACTTACCTTGCTGTCGAGTGCTGTAGGCGTATGGAAGATGGTGAGGAGGGGGAGGAGGAGAGGAGTTACTGTTTGGAAGGGGAGTCCCCTTCCATAATCACATCACATAACCCCATGCCTTGTAACACTATGGATACCACTTCTCTTTCTAAATTTTTCAAACCAGCCCCTGCTTGCCTTAAACTCTTTCTTATCTGCATCACTCGTTGCAGGGGTATTCTTTAGAAGGTCTTCGTGCAACACCCTGGCTTTCTCACAAATAATGGCCTCCGAAACACTATCACCCCTCAACTCCTTGTCGTGTATCCAAATTAATAACAACTTTTCCACTTCTTCAAGTATTTGTGGTCTTTGTGCCGTTAATGTTCTTACTCCTTTTGCCACTTTAGCACCCATAATCTTATTTTTCTTCCTAAGTATAGTGCATATTGTTGATGTGGCTTTGTTGTACTGCCTACAAAGTTCAACACGTGTACCGTTCTCATGCTTCCGAATGATCTCTTGTTTCTCCTCTATTGTCATCCTCACAGGAGCTTTCTGGCCTTTATCCTTACCACTGGCTTTCTTGGGACCCATGGTGAGATATATAATAACAAATTGTATAGACAAATCACCAAAAATCCAACAAAACACTGAAAATCCGCGAGAAGAATTGATGTGGGGGTAGTCACTGAGCGCCAGACAATAATAAACTGAGGGGCGGCGGGGCAGAGGGGCGACGAACGCGCTAGGTCGGCTGTACGCGTATCAACAAACTCGCGTCCAAACTCGCCTCCCGAAGTAACCCTCGCCTTCTGAGACAAATTTTTGGAGTAAATACACCTCGCCTTCCGAAAACCTCGCATACAGGGACAATCGCATTCCGAGGTACCACTGTATGTTGAAATAAACATTGTTTGGCATTCGTACTCAAATATGTGAAAGTTGTAGGTCACTATGTGTTGAAATGAAGTCAAGAAAAAATAACCCCCTTAAAAAACAAAATATAGGGTTAATTATAATTAATGATTCAGGGAATATATTTAGGGTATACTTTATATAAGTAAAAAAGCCTTAATCTGGTCCCTAATCATCAAAACAACGTAAAGAAACGAGGAAAATAGTTTGAAATCTGAAAAAATCGGCCAAAACAAATTCAAAGTCCCAAGTTCTGAGAGTTGACTGATTTGTGTGTTGACCAACTTAATTCTGTCTTCACATAGTTAGGTACGGGTATGCATTCTCTAGGATGTAAATGTTACAACAAATTCAAAAATGATAAAGGGGGAAAAAAAAAAAAAAAAAAAAAAAAAAATCCTGCCCCCCGCCCCAAATTTTTTTTGGGACATTGTTGAAAGTAACTGATGATAACATTGTATTTGTATGATATATAACAAAATAGAGCATAATAACATACTTATTATTATATGTTATGTATTACTCAAAATACTATAAAGGCACCAGCTGTATATCCACTTTTTACTATTATTCTTCTTTTATGCGTTGGACAGGTGCAGGCATCTCTTTATTATTGCATTATCCATCAATTCCAGTTAATAGCTGTTCTCCTTATCAACAAAATGTTTTTTTTTTTTTTTAAATATTCATCTAAAATAAATTTCTGAAAATATTTTGATGAAAATTTGATGCTGAAGCCAATAAGTTGAAGATTTGTTTACCATTTTTAAGTAATTTTTACATACAGTAATTCAAATATTTTTTGAATTATACCCCCCTTATGCTGAACAGTTGAAGGGTTAAGTGAGGAGGAGGAAACTACAAGTCAAACTGCAATCCAATTTCCTCACAGCAAACGTGTAAAGATATTATCTTTAGCCTTCACCATATCATAACGAATAGGTTTGCAAACTTTATGTATTTAGCACAGATGACAATTCTAGGAATGCCAGATTCAGCTTCATTTATAGGCTGAACTTTTTGTTCAAAATTCATCACAGCATGTTTTCTCCTGACATCACCAATAGTTTAAGCCCTGAACTACAGACTTCATGTATTGCCTAATGCCATAGTGGTAGAATGTTAGTTGTTCACATATATAAAATGGTGAAAGGCAGAGATCTTTGATGGCTGCAACTTGGTGGCCGGCTGTCAAACTACATAGGCAGATAAGGAGTCACAATAATATGTCTCAAGATATAATGACCAAACCACATATCAGAAGAAGAAACGACTACGTTTCGGTTCGTCCTGGACCGTAGACGTCCAGGACATTTTGGACCGCTGTGGACCACATAATTTGATAATGGTCCAGGATGGATCGAAATGTCGTCGTTTCTTCATCTTCTGATGTGTGGTTTGGTCATCAAACCACATAGGCCTTTCTTGGTTGGAGGATGGTGGTGGAGCTGGTTGTATGCCTGGTCAGATTCACACATGTGTAGTTGGAATAATCGGGCATTTGAAAGTTGAACTAAAGGTTCTACAAATGTATACAAAAAAAATGACTAGTACCATAATTTTACAACTTATTTGCAGAGAGCCTTGGAACAGAGTCGGCTGGACAGTGCAGAAACTGAGCGTATCATGACTATAATAAGCCGTGTGCTCTCCGTGGGCAAGGACCAGCCGACTATCATGACCTACCTCAATGCCACCCTCACCCCATATATTTCTCGTCTTAGTCACCTTAAGGATCTCATGGTGAGTGATCATGTTTACCAAACTTAGGGGATGTACGACTCATTGCTCAGTATCGCCCTTTTCAATTTTTTTACCTTTGTAAATGAATAGGAAGTTTTGTGGTAAAAGATATTACCCCTACTGGTGGGTAATGCCTCATGACTTTGCTGTTTATTTTGTTCTTTTATTTATTTTCCCTCTGTTTTTGGGACAGTATCTACAAGATTCTTAGCATCAGTGTCAGGCTTGGTGTTATACATGGTCATAATACAGAGCCTTCTATTAAAATGAGCAGTGTAGCTTTCTGGTGGCCTCTTCTGATGATTTTGATGATTTTTTCTCTTCTGAAAATTTTTGTTTTTTTATCATCATGGGAACTTTGTCTTTGCTGTGAATTAACCCGGCCCTTTAAGTCAACATGGAAGATGCATTTACTTTATTGAATTTTGTTCCATTATTCTCAGCCTCATGGGACCTGAGGCTGGATATATAGAGTAACAACAACTATACATATAAATGAACAAATGCATATACCAGTTTACATATAATGTATACATATATAGAAACTATACAACAAAAATGAACATGCTATACATATAATTACATTTATTCTGCAGAGAAATGGCTTGTCCCGTGAGCAACATAATGAATTGGTTTCACTTCTCAAGTTATTATCTTGTCTGTCTAGACACCTAAACCTCAATAATTCGGCTGTGGAGGAAGATGATGATGAGGATGGAACTACACGAAGACATTCACAGGTAGATAAATCAAATGTTGCGTATTCTAAAACAAATGGTGTTGAATCGGTGAAACTTTTTTCTGAGTGGGCTTATCAAATTCAGTTGCTTATCAAATTCAGGGCCTCCTTCTCAAGACATTAAATTATCTACCAGTAGTGACAAGTATCTTTGCCACTTCAGTTAGGGAGGCGAGACAAAATTTAATCCACATCAAAGAGGGTTGCTTGCCAGATGAAAAGTGGAAATAAAAACAATGCATTTCCAAGCTTAATTGAAAAACACTAGGAACACTAGTTAAAAATCTATCAACTGCTTCTTTATTACCTTCACAGACCCCCAATGGGCTGGGGTAGCCAACTACAGTCACTTAACATATGTAGATAGCTTTGTCTTTAAGTGTGGACTGTAAAGATGGGGAAATGAAGACACCAAGCAGGCCTATAGGAAAAGTTTCATAAACACAGCACCCTGTTTCTCAACAAGGTCCCCCTTTAATTACTTACCAAGCCAACTACCCCAAAGACTTCCCAGACAGATGAGCTCCCAAGGGAAGTGGCTGAATAGGGTGACATTGCACTTAGGATTGCATCCAGAGCAGGTCATCAAATGAGCATACACACTTCAAGGAAGGCAAACGCCCAGATATAGATAAGGTATAGATAACAAGACCAGAAACTGGGGAGAATAACCCCCAGGCACTAATTTTAAGGATAAGTATGCACCTAGGAAACTGTGGGCCAGATATGGAGTGTTAGTATTTCAAGGGTGGTCCAGGGGGCTCAGTAGAGATCCTAGTACCAAAGAGAATAAGTATACAGGGGGCCTTAGCTCAGAAATAAGGTGTTGAGCATAATGAAATGCTTCTTTCTGGGCTGGCACTATTAATGGTCCCATTTGCAAGTTTTATTTGTTTTTCCCAAGCTTGCTTTGGGGGGGGGGGGGATGGCAAGGTTGAAAGTGTGGCACTAGAATTGGTGGCAGTTAACAATAAATTTGGAATGCTTACTGTATTTGGATTCTTTGTACAGTGGCATCCAAAGGATCAGGCTCAGAATGGAGTGTTTTGCTACACTAATACACCTAATTTTCCATTGGGGCTGCCCCTTAAAGTGAATTTCAAAATATAAATATAATTGTAAAGCATTAGTTTTAATATAGGAAAACAAAATTATTATACTGTAGTCATTTGATTTTAATTGACAAATGTGATGACGAGGGGGTATCCCTTTCTCTCTCCTTTATAAATTTTCAGGTGGTCAGTGGAGAGCCTCAGCCATTGCTACTCGTCTTGCAACAGCTAATGCCCCTCTTGTCTGAAATTGCGTCCAAGGCGAGAACAGACCAAGAAGTCATTGAGGTTAGTACTAAAGCAATACTGTATTTTCATAACTTTATCTGATAGTTGACCCCGAAGAAAGAAATGAGACAGGAAATTCCTAAATATTTTCCTATTAATCAAAACATCTTCAGAAGGATCCTTCTGAAGGTAGGTAATTACCTAAGTGTAGTTACAGGATGAGAGCTACACTTGTGGTGTCCCATCTTCCCCTCACGCTTTGTCATGTAATGTTTTGAAACTACTGACGGATTTGGCCTCCACTATCTCGCCTAACTTGTTCCAATGGTCTACCACTGTTCGCAAAAGTGAGTTTTCTTATACTGTACAGGTATTTATTTGGCAGCTTTGTTTAGTTTAAATTTATGCCCTCTTGTTCTTGAAATTCCAGGTCTTGGGAATTCTTCCCTATCAATTTTATCGATGACCGTTACTATTTTGTACGTGGCGATCATATCGCCTCGTTTTCTTCTATCTTCTACTTTTGACATATTTAACACTTTTGTCCATTAGGGATGGAGATGACGTCCACAAATAACTGCGGGTGTTCCTTAGGGACGTAGGGGACATCCAAAATTAAAATATTTGTTAAAATTCAAGTTTTTATCTGATCTTTGAGACCGGTTTTAATGTGTGTGCCAACATCTTCCCATTCTATTGCAACTGAAGTGAAAATTTATGTGAGAAACTTGAAAAGAGTAAATACATTTGTGAGCAGGTGTTGAGTGTGCCAATGGGTTATCTTGAGGTTATCTTGATTTCGGGGCTTAGTGTCCCCGCGGCCCGGTCCTCGACCAGGCCTCCTTTTTGTTACACACCCTCCCAGAAAGCAGGCTGCAGCAGCTGTCTAACTCCCAGGTACCTATTTACTGCTAGGTAACAGGGGCATCAGGGTGAAAGAAACATTTTGCCCACTTGTCTCCGCCTCCACCGGGGCTCGAACCTGGGACCTCAGGACTATGAATCCGAAGCGCTGTCCACCCAGCTGTCAGGCAGGTGCTGGCTCGTGGATAATGCTTGGCTGACTTTCGGCTTTGTTGCAGGTGGGGATCTGTATGCGCGCTATATCCATAGCGCGCATACGAGCCAAAAGTGACGTTATTTTTAAGAGGACGGGTTGTCAATGATAGGTCAATAATTGAGGGGGCTCTTCCCTGCTGCCACTTTTGTAGATTGGAACTATGCCAGCCTTTGTGGGTGTATGTGGATGTGTGGGGTGGGTGTGGGGGTATGTGTGAGGGGGGGATTCTTTTTGTTCTTTCCTCCCCAGTCTTTTGTGGGACACTGTTGAAGCTTTTGCAACACATCAGTTGGATTTTTTTTTTTTTTTCTACCACAGACGTGGCCACACATTTACAATGCTAACTAGCATATATACATTTTCTTCTGTCCTCCATGGACAGGGTGAAAAATTTGTCAAACATACAGTTCAGAGATTTATTGAACAACCACAGAAGTAGTGCTTTTAAAATGTTAGGCTCAGCTACATACGTAAATACATAGATTTATGAATGCATTAATGTGAATTTATAATGGTGAAATGCAATTTTGATCTTAGAACCTGATCTCGCCCTGTATTAATCCTTATTTAATCTAACCCCTTTGTTGTCTAAGCCTCAACACAATTCACTTCATCGGTACTAAAAAGGAAAAGTGATTACGTGTATTAAAAGCAAAATTTCATGTAGGTTATTTTTGAGATCTTAGAAGAATTAGGTATGTGTGATATTAATGTTAATGTTTCATACCATTAACATATTATACATTGTTTTTATCCTCTTGGGTGGGGGTGGGGGATGAACACGAGGAACAATAGTAGACAAATAATACAACTTGTATGTAATTGAGATGGTTTGTGTTTTGTTGTATATACAGTATTACAATGGCTGTTTTGTTTCAGGCTCTCTGTAAACTACTGAAAAACAGCATAAGTACACTGGTAGATGACTGTGTAGCAATCTTGCCGGCAATCCTAGAAATTATACCTCAGCTCTATGAAGCATCCCTCAACCCAGCAATATTAGATTTAGTTAAACAGGTAAGAAGTATACGTGTTTATCTGGCACAGTATCTGTGCCAGATAAATGATTGGCTTTTATCAAGTGTGAATGATTGGCTTTGCTGGTGTGAGAAGTAGTGCTTAAAGCTAATCTTGCCCTCAAGATATATTCATGGAAGAAGTAAAAAGTTGTCATTGCAAAAGTTAGAATGTGGTGGAAAAACCTTGATTGTAGCACTGTACAGTATAAAAGTAACGGATGAAGGCGAGTAAGATCTAGAGCCATAAACAAACTGTTATGGGCAGAATTAATGGCAAAATAAGACTGAAAGTCAGTATTGATAAAAGTACACAAAGAAATCACACTAACATGATAAATATTGATGAGAAAATTAATTGGAGCAATGGGGCGACTTGAATTGGCGATAAAGGAACTCCCAGCCGTGCACCTTAACTGTGAACCTCGACTTGGTATAAGTTTTCAACCAGGGATTCCACTGAATCCACAGGAGGTCTTAGAGGCTTCTACTGAAGCCTGTCCAAGTTTTACATACAGTGTACAGTAACCCCAAGCACTTGGGTGCAATTAAAGTATCAAGTGTACACACTACCTGCAGATATTTCTTATTTCTCATTAATAAGGGTCTTGGATTGAACAAAACATTGTCAATTTCATACATGGGGGGGGGGGGGCAGAGTTGGGGGTGTTTGTTTCAGCCACATTATTGTGACTTATTCTCTGCATTGACTAAAATATTAGATTATTACTTAAGAATTTGGCAAGTAATTGCCTGATAACATTAATATCATTCATTACAGTATTTTCCATTTTCATTGGGTAGAGAGGAATTGGCCCAAAAGAAATATGAAAGCAATATAGGAAAAGAATAAATGTATAGTGCTCAGAGATGCCCAATCCCTATCTACCAAGCTACATTACATAATACAAGATTACATAAAAAAAGCACTTTCATACCCAAATGCAACAAAAACAGCAACCCACTACAATACTTCATAAAATTATAGAGGGCTTCCTGTGTGTTTGTGTGTGTAAGCCTTCAAAACCTGTTTCTTTCTTGTATGATCTGGACAAATACCACTTTACCTCATGGAATTCTAAAATAATGATTCTGAGAAATACTTTGCTGGTAGTAGCAGATGCATTATTATTATTATTATTATTATTATTATTATTATTATTATTATTATTATTATTATTATTATGGGTTTAAACTGATATCTCAGTACTGTAGCCATACTAAAACAGATCTTTATTAATCATTTTGCACAGCTTGTTATTCTGTTCGGCCGGGAAGGTAACCAAGAAGCAAATATGGGAGTTTTGCTACGAATGGTAACATCGACTACTTTGAGTAGAGCCTCTGCGGATTTGTGGAATCACACTGATGCTGTCCATGGTTGCCTCACACTCCTGACTGCCACGTTCAAAAAGACTCCACACCTCACAACAGCTAACCATAATCATTTAGCACCACTGTTTCATCTTGGTAAGTTTATAGATTTTGATTAAAGTTTCCTGCACTTGTGGTACCCATGCTATATCCATAGAACACCTTCATTTGTGTTAAAAAGATTCAAACCTTATATATAGTAGTGAAAGAAAGATGTATTGTATAGTTATTGGGCCATGTAGCCTGTTGGTGACACATTTGATAAAATTTGAATACAATTTCTGGGACTCTTCTCCTGTAACTCTTCTGTGCTAATTCACTGCCGCCATCCTGAAGCAGGGAGGCTCTTATGGATGTTAGTTATGTATTTTGTTTAGCATCTGTCAATATTTCTTGGAGGGGTTGAAGTGTTTTGAGGCTTTCTTTTAATGTTTTAGCACGTGATTTGCCTTGGCAATTTAATACTTTTTTTTTTCTCACACCCTCGTGTACTCTCTGTTGTATAGAGGGAAAGGATGGCGAGGATATCAAAGTGTGCTTGCTCCCAGTGGATAGTTTGACAGGTGCTTCACATGCTTAGTGTGGCTAGAAATTGTCAGCACATAAGCTGTAGAGAGCTACTGAGGCTTGAATGCAATACAATCTGTGCTTAATTTTTTTGTTGCAGGTGTAGAAGCCCTAAAATTACCTGAAGAAGGAACAGTTCGAAGTGCGGGTCATTTTCTAGCTGGGTTTATTAATTTTAGCAGAGACCCACAAGGAGGCTGTCTCCAGCCCGTTGTAGCCCACAATACGGAAACTCTCGTTAGAACACTTATGTTCTGTATATGTAAGTACATAGTTACAGTATCTTGATTCTTGAGGTTATCTTGATGATTTAGTTTGATTTATTCAATTCTGTCGTCAAGTAAATTCTACTCTGCTCAAATATGTGAAAGCATTTAAGAAAATATATCCATATAAAATGAAATACAGTACTGTACTTATGTTAGGTAACTATATTGCTTTAATGTTTAATGTTAAACAGAATATGGTTTAATTTTTCGTCAGGCAATTCACCCCGCCATAGCCTGAGTAGCTTCAGTGATGTCCTAAGTGCATTATGTAAAATGTATGGCGATGATCTTGCACGTACATTCAAGACTGTACAAGCAGATGAAGCGTTTTTGTTACCACGTGTCACGGCACACCAAAAAGCAGAGTTTGCCAAGAAGGTTTTAAAGTAAGTAAAGTAATTTATATATATATATATATATATATATATATATATATATATATATATATATATATATATATATATATATATATATATATATATATATATATATATATATATATATATATATATATATATATATATATATATATATATATATATATATATATATATATATATATATATATATATATATATATATATATATATATATATATATATATATATATATATATATATATATATATATATATATATATATATATATATATATATATATATATATATATATATATATATATATATATATATATATATATATATATATATATATATATATATATATATATATATATATATATATATATATATATATATATATATATATATATATATATATATATATATATATATATATATATATATATATATATATCTATCTATATATCTATCTATCTATCTATCTATCTATCTATCTATCTATCTATCTATCTATCTATCTATCTATCTCTATCTATATACACACACACACAGTATATATATATATATAAATTGGAACTGTACTCCGTTTAGTTTATCCAAGCTTTTGGATAATCTGGATATTTGAGTATTTTATTGTTTTTGAGTTAAATATTTTTAATTATTAGAGATTATTTAACATTGTGTAATTAAAATTACAGTGAAGCCTTCAACATTCAGACTTCTAAAATAAAATCTAAAGACAAATTTTGCTACCATATTTTGTAGTTGAATTTTAGATTTTGATCCAAATTTAATTTTCATGGTGAAGACCGAGTAATTTTTTGGCAGGTTGTATTTTTTTTTTTAAAGGTCTTCTGTTCTTGAGTTTTATAGCAAATATTATTTAAAAAATTACTTTTCAGTTAGAATAGTTATCCTTTGCTCGTATTTTTATTAGTTATAAATTTTGAGTAATAAAAATATACATCGAGAGATTATGAATTTTTGTGGCATCTATGGACCTACTGTTGAAGTATGTATTCACCTAGTTGTGCTTGCGGGGGTCGAGCTCTGGCTCTTTGGGCACCAGGCTTTTTCATTGTGTATTGATGTGTTATGAGCTTGTGTTACTCGAGCCTTTTAACTTTCTTGTCTCTATTTAACAGCGGTAATGCACAACCATCAAAAGAGACCCTCTTGTAGTGCACAAGAAAACATGATTTTCAAAATAATTTAATTTTCTTGATATTGCTAAAATGTTCTCTGAGCACAGGAAAGTAAACAAAAAAAAATATTGCATGCGACATAATTTTGCTGTGATGGAGCAAGGAAAGTTGAGTATTTATGGATGCCTAGTGAGTGGGCGCTTGTAGATGTTAGCCCCAGCGACCCCAAGGGGTAGCAGTTACTGCGAATATAATTTTTCATCATTATTTTAATTTCTGTTTTCTTTTTCTTTTCTTTTGTTGTAATATTATTCAATAGTGTGTTATTGCCTCTGCAATAACACACTAAATGCCTCTAAATTATACTATACACATCACTAAAAACTAGCCACAGAACTGCTATTATTATCACATTCCTTTCACTATATCCTGAGTATATAATAAATTTCCACGAAGTTGTATTGTACAGGACCTGAAGATGGTTTCACGATGTGAACGTGCACGAAACAATGGGAGTGTGTTGTGGCTGTGTGCCTCCTGCTGCGACCATCGTAACTAGCATTGTGTTTACTGATATCTGAATGTTGTACATAGTCTTCGTCACAGTCAGGATCATCACTGGCACTATCCAACCAAAATAATCGCCGTTACTTATTTTATTCATCACTATTATGTGGTGTTGTGCTGGTAGCCCCTGCTGCACAAGTCTACCTTGGTCGCTTCCCCAGTACCGAGACACACTCAGCCAGGAGAGATGCAGACGATTATTTCCTCTTCCCCCCCCCCCCCATATCCCTCCCATCAAGATAGCATCTGTTTACTGAAACTCTGAAACAGGATGTGAACCCCATGCACCCACTGGAGTTTTAAATCTTGCACTGTACCTAAAAATAATCCTTGTAGTGATGCGCAGTTGAAGGGTTGTATCATTCTTTGAAAGTTGAAACTTGTCACTCCTCTCCATAAAGAGAAGTAAGGTCACATCGAATAAGGATAAGATGCTTAATTACCAAGGCTAAAGCTGCAGAGATATTAGAGAGATTTTATTATGGCCGAGATGGGAAGTGGCCGTCAGACGAACATGGCATTGGGTTGGTACTTTTTCTGACAAAATATGAAGACAAACGGTAACATATCGTGTAGTTTTATTGTAAATGGCGAGGGTCATTTAAAAATATATAATAAGCCACCCTCTTACTTACAGTACATGCATTTTATTTAAAATTGGGAATACAGAAAAACTGTAATATTTACAAAGATAAACTGTACGTAAAATATGAGAGGAAACTGTGAACAGCACAACTATTTTAAATTTCGGGACTTGAACAAACCGGCAAAATGAGTGTTTACATTTATTTAAAAACATAGGAAATGGGGACATAATACAACATGGAATAAATATATCTACTCGCCAGATCTACTACTATACTTGGTCACGTAGAAAATATTGTGTTTTGGGCTTTGTAACTCTTTGGTGGTAGCTATTTAGTTTTTTTTATATATTATGGTAGGGATGTTTTAAAAATTTATTCATACATTTTTGCATCTTTAACCTCTGCACTGCGCACCTGTTTTTTGGCAAAAACTTCATAGCACATTTGTTAAGGACATTTTTGTTGTTTTTATAAATATTCAGGTAAAGTTAGTGTCAAAATGTTTCCAAACTCGACTATTTTCATTTCAAAACACAATGATGAAAACATTAAAAAACATTAAAATATAGCCTAATTAAAAAAAAATGGTAAAACTCGCAGAACGAGATTTCTCGGTTGGTGCAGCACAGTGGTTAAACAGCTTATTATTTAAGAGGTGGCACCATTTGGTCAACAAAACCCAATTGGCTTAGTACCTGGTTTTAATGTACTTTTGGGCAAATATAAATTTAAAAAAAATGACTGTAAACACAATGCAGTAATCTAATTGATTTTGTTGTGGAATTTTAATGAAAAATCACAGTGGTGTGATGTTAATACAAGGAAATTTTTCTATAATGGCAAACATTTTTTTGCAGGAATCGGGGAAGCAAACGTAAAATTCTTGAAGCTGTGACAGACTTGGCGCTGATTGGCAGAGGTCTTGCCGGTACAGATTATGGAGCTCAAACGCGTGGATTCCACTGACAGACTGCCTCCATTCTTCCCTCCCTCAACTGTTTTGGGGTCTGCTTGTTGTATTCAAATGGTTTAATCAGCCAAAGTTTTCTTGCTCTAGAATATGTTTCATACAGAGTTTAATACACCATCTCCAAATAAGTAATCAATAACTAATACATGTCAGGTAAATGCATTATTTTATAGAAGTGTGCGTAATATTTTTGCTCTAGTTTATCGGTTGAAATTAGGTTAGTATACTGTAGCTTGTTGCAGTATATTTGGCCTGTATTATATACTGTGTGTTTGCAACAGAAGTGATTTATACATACCTGGGAACTTGGAATGCTACATATTTTAGGACAAGAGAAAATTGTTAAAAATTGTGAATATTTATTTTTATCTTCAAAAAGTTTTTGATGTATCATTGCAAGAGCACAGCCGCCTCTCACAATATTAAGTCATTACAAATACCAAGATCAGGGAATGGGAGGGGCACTTTGTCTTTCAATCGCGTAGCTTAAATAAATATTGTAAATCGTCAACATTATTGATAAATGTTAAAATTTGTATTTTTGGTTAATATGAAAAGATTCACTTTTTATTTGTACAGTTTATCAAGACTCGCGTGGTAAATAGCTGATGAATCTGTCCAGTGATACGCTACAGAGAGAAAGGGGGAGAGAGAGAAATACGATATTTTACTACTTAATTACACTTTATATTGGTTGCCCCATTTAAATGTGTGCCCTCACTATTAAGCTGTAGGGCTTGAGTAGCACTTCAGCATTTAATTCAAGTAGTACCAATTCATAATTTTTTGCTAGAATTTAGAGTTGTCCTTATCCATCACTTTAAGTACAGCAGAATGTGACTACCCTGAACACCAGATAATGTTACCGAAACTTGTCAAGGTGATTAGTGTTTGTGACAGAATTTGAATTCGGTTGCAGCTGAATGCTAAGCTTGCAACTTTTCACTGGTGCACATCCTATGCAATGCTCATTACAGCAGTTAAACTCTATATTAGAGATCTTTATTATATGTAAATAATTTGATAGCAGTATTATATTTTGTTTTATACGGTTCCTTTCGTATGCAGTGTTTATAGCATGACTGATTCCTGCTGTTCATTTGATCATTTAAATGAGAAGACTAAAAAAAATAAGTTGAAGTTTTCAAGCCCCAAAACCATTAATTTTATATTTTGATTCCGAGTGATTAATTCTGTGACTGCTAGATAATGTTAGGTTTGTTACGGCCAACAATTGGGCCATTTAACATATAAATTGGCCTTGACATAAGAGATCCACTAGTCCAATATCAGATTATTGTGATTTTGATTTGTGGCAGTTTCATTATTAATTTTGTAAGTGTGGTTACAGTGAGTGCTACGCTCTGTGCCCCCATCTTCCCAGTACTGTCATGTGATGCTTTCAAACTACTGACAGTAACTTAACACTTGTTCCAACTGTCTACCACTCTCTTTACAAAAGAGAAGTTTCTAATATTTTTTTGGCACCTTTGCTTCCTATAATTTTGCAACCCCCCCATTTTTTTTGCTTTTGCGTGTGTGTGTGTGTGTGTGGAGGGGAGAGAGAGCACATTTGTATATACAGGAAGGATAGTTATGTTTATGGCCCATTTTCTTTGTATATTTTACCATAATGTTTGAACTGTCTATGGTTTTTAGCACACGACCATTTGCTTTTCTATTCGTAAAGAAATGCTTTCCGTTATTAATTTCCTGGCATGGTACCTTCTTTTGATAATTACTTATCCATTATTAGCTTTTTTCAATGTCTTAAATCTGTGGCATTCTTTTGTGCTTAATTCTTACTTTTACAACTTCCCTGTCTATTGTTTCATACCCTCATTCATTCTTATTGTCAGGCAGTGGTTCGAGCTGGTTTGTAACTCTGACGCATTTGTTGGGCAAGTCGCCTCCCATATAGATTTTGCTCATAATTTTATCACCTTCCTTTTTATTTTATTTTATTATTTTTTCCAAGCCTTTCCCTGGATTGATATGAAAATGTCAGTGCCTTTGTTGTGTGTGTTGATGCTGTGTACATGAAGAATGTGCTTGCTTATCGATGAATATGGGGGGAGTGAAATCTAGCTCTTGATTAATGCAGGTCATCTCCAGATGATTGATGATGATCTAACTCTAATTACATGCAAACATGTCGTAACGTCGTCGTCCCTTCAACTTCTAGTGTGTGGTCTGGTCAACACGTGCAAACAAATAATAATAGACTCGCTGTTCTGTGGAGTATTATAATAAGCTCCATAGGTCATCCATTTTAATAATTCCCAAGATAAAAGCTGGAATACAGTGTTTTGTGCCCTCCTGCAGGTAATGATATATTTTTTTATTTCTCTTGTGTACATACTAAAGAGTAAGGTACATATCCATAAGGTACTTTGTATTATGGTTTATCACTTTAACAAATATTGGCTAAAAATGGGGAAAGGAAATTGATATAAATTCAGATGGCAATCTTGCATCCCACAGATCATGACACCGTTGACAGAATTTAATTTATGGGATTATGGGAGAAAAAATTGAGAGAAAATATTAACACAACCATCAAATTATGGTCACATTGTGTTTTAAAGTGAAGCGCAGATTTCTTAGTAATTTGCATCAACAACAATAAATTATTAGGAGGATATCATTACGTTAATACAGTAACGTACCATCCCCCTCCCCTGTCAATTCACTTGGATATCTTACTTTTTTTTTTTCTTTTTTTTTGAGATTAAATCATATTTTACACTTCAACTCTTTGTATTTGAGCAGCACCCGTAAAACCATCACCATTTGAATGTGAGTACAGTATACACACCCTGGGCATGTATCCAATTACTGGAGTGATTCGTGAATTAGTATGCAATTTATGCTGTATTTTATTAGGTTAAGTAGTCTTTCCTTAAATTTTGGTACAGTACTTTAATTTGGGTTGTTTGATTTTGGTATGCTTTTGAGTTATGAAATGGCCCCCCTTCCTGGAATTTATCTGTAAACATGCAGACAAATTCATTGTGTTCTCCATGTAGCAGTGAATATGGCATATTTACCATTTTCACAAGATATCATTTGGCAGTGACCCTGACCAAATGGTTAAATCCTAGTGTCAATACATGGTGTAAAGTTGTTTCATCATTGCTACTAATACACCTCCAATTTGAAAGTTTTTTTTAAATGGTAAGTAAAAGTTGTGCCAAAAAAAAGTGTTAAGCCATATGTTTTAGTAGAGTTCTGTGAGATGAGAATGTATTTGTTTTGAACAAATTGAACAGTCGAGTACACCATTTCCCAAGCTGAACTTGTTTGCATTAATATGTCCACCTACATGTAGTGTTATTGCTTTAAGTTGTATATTTATATGTTCCTCTGGTTTGTCAGGTCGTAATAGTTCTAGATAGTGGTGCGGTATCATCATTTTTAATCCGTCCTTGTCATTTTCGGTGGCATTTTAATTATTTTTTTATCTGCTTTTAATTACCATTTGCTTCAAAGCATCTTGATAGTTTGTTATCCAGTGAAAAACATTTGCATTCACTCCAGGTTTAAAGAATCTGTAATTATACGTTTATTGATCTGTAGTCTTGTCTTGGAGCTATTGTATTATCCCATGGTTTTTTAGTGTAGCTTAACCAAACATGTTTTACGAGATGGTTCTTGAGGGTTTGAGTACCAGTGAGGGGGAACTTCCTTCCCCAATCATTGGAAAGGAAGAAAAGATTGGATATATCAGGATGAATAGTTTGTAAGGTTTATTGTGGTTGAGAATGTAACTGTTAAATAATGAACCCAACCAAGTTTGGCCTTAGCATTGTGTGTGTTATAGCTTAGCAGTCGAAGGGCCAGAGTTCGATTCCTGCAGAGGAGGCATCGTTTTAAATTTGGTTTGAGCAAGTGTCCCGATTTGTAACCATGTTTTCTCTGGCTTTTAGGAACTTGTATGGTTCACAAATATACAGCCAAAGAGAGAGATCTTCCTGTCTTGCTTAGTTTGCAATAGTGAATCCAAATCTATGAATGGATTAACCTGTAAATACTGTACCGTACTTCCAATTCCAGCACTTGCTAGGATTGAAAGACTCGGTCTAAAACATAAGAATAATCTTGGTATAACACATAAATCTTTAGTAGGTTTTGTTGACAATTCACACCCAAAAAAAAAGAAAAAAAAGAAAGGGTGGGGGGGTTATGAAAGTACTGGGTTTGTGATGAGTTAGGCAGGGGCATAATAGTGACTACTTAAGAAGGTAAGTTGCCTGGTTACTATCTTGTGAATTAATCAAATTGTTCATCAATACGCCATGCATACAGGTGAATTTGATTTAACCCTTAAGCTGCTCTGGGTTACAGTATTTGCCCTGCAACACCCACAGGCGCAAAAAATTAAAATTGTTGCGTCTGCTCCGCCCGAGCTGTCGGGAGGGAGTTGCCACAAAGATATTGCCTAATTATTTCAATGTGTCCGAATGATTTTTTCCAAGTTTTTTTTTTTTTTTCCAGTAATATTATTCAATGGTGTGTAGTATATTTATATTATATATTTATATAATGTGTGAATCATCACTATACTCAAAAGTATTGTGATCATATTAGTGATTCAATTATGTTCATAAGACAATAAACATAGTTTTGCTGTTATTACACTATATACACAGGTTACATAGGTATACAGGTACACACAGGTTATTACACTTTATACACATGTGGCCACACACAACTGATGCTCCCCCTCCCCCCTCACTGGTTCAAGGCCAGATGCACTAACATTCCTCCTTAAAGTTTTCTGTTTGTAATATTGCACTATATACACACATTATAAGTATCTACATGGTTTTGTTCACCATAACTGTTCAACCAAGCTGGTATAGTGCCCAAAGAGCATAGTGGCCACCCAAACACAGCATGACAAGTCATGCAGATAATGCCACCTACCTCACCAAAATGGCTTCTCCCAACACGCCTTTTGCTGTTATTACACTGTATATACATGTTATTTTTATAACATGTTATTTATAAGTATCTACATTTGTGTTCACCATAACGAACCACTTAGTTGGTATGCCGAGTCAAAAGGCAGCGAAGAGCGGAACGCCAGCCAGCCACTGGTCGCCACTCCCTCCCTCTCACCTCATCTCACTCGCCAACATTCTCCTCCCACCATACTGTTTTTGCTTTTATTCACTATATAAAGACGTTGTATTTAAGTATCTGCATGTTTTGTTTGCTATAGCGAACCACTAAGCTGGTATAGTAAGTGCAGACAGAAACAGGTTGCCACACAGATTCGGCAGACGATGCTATAGTCCTCCCACCCTCAACATTACTCCTCCCACAGCACAGCCCAACTTATCACAACAATCCTGCTATTATCAGAATCCTGGTTATTTTCACCAGTCAGGGGTCTTCTGTAATACTATCATTACTAAATAATACCTGTTACATAAAGTTTTGACATTTTTAGGCCATGCTGTGGGCACAAGCTGAACAGCAGTGCTGTGAGCTTATGTTGCGTGCACCAGCCTTGGTGGCTCACTCGGTACCGGGGCTTTCACACCCGGGAATGTTGCCTACGATTTAAAAAAAAAAAAAAAAAAAAATGGCATCTGTTTACAAGAGCCTTGAAGGTGATGTGAACCGTGTGTAGCACCATGGGCCGTTTAAATTTTGCGCGGTATTCCAAAACATCTTGTGAAAGGGTGCGCACTTTCGCATCAGTTACTCAACACGTCATATGAAGTGTTGTGCAGTTTAAGGGTTAATGTTGAGGTTAGATTCCTGAAAAGCTACAAATTTAACTGAAATAACATTAAGTGAAACCAAAAAACTTTGTAGGCCTAGTGTTATAAGTAAGGGTTATGTTCCTAGGGTAATGGGGAAAAATGGTCATCTTTTGCTCACTCTCCCTGCCATACCTACCTAGCATTTCTAAGCTTAGTTTCTAATGATATTATCTTCCTTTACACTTTCGTTAGGATTACTACCTGTTATAGGCCATTTATCAGCCATGCCTCCTTGTCTTGGGAAATTTATTAATAAAAATGTAGAGGTTGGAACTTTCTCGCCTTGTTTAAGGCCATGATCAGCTGGCGAGATGCATTTGTTTCAGCAGCAGGTAAATTTGTTTTCTAGGATAAGATCCAAAAAGCATTAGAGGGGGTAAACAAATAGAAATAGTTTAAAAGGAAAGAGAGTAGCTTACCACAGCTCATTCTTGACTTTTGAGACAATATAGTTTTTAAGGAGTTTCCACTCATACCTAAATAATGGCAAAATATTAGCTATTTTATTTCAAATAAATAAAGTAGGAAGTTTTTTACATAAAATTTAATATGAATGTATAACAACTCCATACCAAAATTCATGCAATTAGGCTGTTCAGTGATATTTGTTGTATCCCATTTATCATGGACATTGTATTACTTTTGATAGCTTTCATAGCCTTGTTATCCGGTGGAAGAGATCAGCATCCCTTAGCTTTAAAGCAAGAAACTTTGTTCACTTTTACTCAATAAGATCATATTTAAAATAAATTTGCATGTTATTTATGTACTTCTGTCACTAAAAGCAGCAATCATAATGTAAACATAAAACATTATTCTGTATAAGCAATCCGTCCGATTGTTGCAGTGGTTATATCCCATATCCGTGAGTGATTGATGCAAAATGTTCTCCGTACAGTTGATGTCTCTGTTGACGGTTTTAACATAAAGCTACTATAGAGAGAAATTGCAAGTAGTTAACCAGATACGGAATGATTTTGGTGGCCTCTGTTCGTCATTAGATAGGAATTTATACACAAATAAGAGAAGAAAATCAGTGGGAGACATAGCCTTGTAGGAGGAAAGATGATAAAAATGAAACTTAGGGTGAAACCTGTGAAAGGAGCGTTTTTGGAGTGTAGCTAATAGTAGATGCATGTAAAGGTAGAAGGACAAGATGGTAGTGGTTACCATACTAGTGTGGCAATGCAACAGTCCCAACGTTGATTTTTGTTAAGGAGGCAGGGCGTTAAAAATTTGGTTTAAGCTAGAGTAATTTCCAAAGTACAGTAGTGTACAGTTTAACTGTTTCCACCGGCGGCTTATAAAATGTAACTAGATTGTAAATTATCCACCCAAGCAAGAGAACGTTACTATACAAATAAATATATATGGGTCAATTCAATACTAAAAGTATAGAGTTGACCTATATATATTTAATGTTTTAACTATTGCCTTAGTGGATTTTTCATAATTCAGTAAATAGATTTATTTTAAGTCGAAACTAAAAAACATATTTAACCTAAATCTGCCTAGTATTCTAAAATTCTGGCTAATGTAGGTACAGCTAAAAGTTTAAATACTAATATGTAATACAAATTTAATCTGTTTAGTTACTTAACAATTGAAAGTTTTTTAAAAATGCAAAAATTATCTGGCTATTGGGCAAAACAGACCTTGCTTAGTAGGGTAGTTCTGGCTGATAGGTAAAACACACACATGCATGCACATATCGGGGGGGGGGGGTGCCTGGTGGATAGCACACAGGACTCGTAATACTGTGGCACGGGTTCGATTCCTGCACCAGGCACAAACAAATGGGCAAAGTTTCTTTCACCCTGAATGCCCCTGTTACTTAGCAGTAAGTGGGTACCTGGGAGTTAGTCAGCTGTCACAGGCTGCTTCCTGGGGTGTGTGTGCGAGTGGTGTGGGGGGGGGGAATAGTAGTTAGTAAACAGTTGATTGACAGTTCAGAGGCGGGCCGAAAGAGCAAAGCTCAATCCCCGCAAACACAACTAGGTGAATACACACACCACCACCACCACACAACCACACCACAACACCACCACCACAACACCACCACCACCACAACACCACCACCACAACACCACCACCACCACAACACCACCACCACAACACCACCACCACAACACCACCACCACAACACCACCACAACACCACAACACCACCACAACACCACCACAACACCACACCACCACACACCACCACCACACCACCACCACCACCACACCACCACCACCACACCACCACCACCACACCACCACCACCACACCACCACCACCACACCACCACCACCACACCACCACCACCACAACACCACCACCACAACACCACCACCACAACACCACCACCACAACACCACCACCACAACACCACCACCACAACACCACCACCACCACAACAACACCACCACAACAACACCACCACCACCACCACCACCACCACCACACCACCACACCACACCACCACACCACACCACCACACCACACCACCACACCACACCACCACACCACACCACAACACCACACCACACCACAACACCACACACACACACCACCACCACCACCACACACCACCACCACCACCACACACCACCACCACCACCACACACACCACCACACACACACACCACCACCACCACCACACACACCACCACCACCACACACACACCACCACCACCACACACACGCACACTAAAAGCAGAGTGGTAAACAGATGCCAAAAAAAATTAGAGGGGGTTGAAATAACAAAATGATCAGAAGTTTCAAAGCATCATATGAAATTATAGGGGAGATGGTACACAATGAGTATAGCTCTCATTCTGTTGCTACTGGCACACTTGAATAATTACATAACCATCCTTACTTACTAACCATCACTTGTGCACTGTTCATTCGCTCTCTCTTGCCTGCCCCCTTCCACCATCAATTTTGATAATTCTACAAATCACCCTTATACCAGTCTATACTCGTTGCACCTGCTATACACTCTCATTACACTCCATATTCTTGATAATCTGCCCTATTTAAGCTGGCCTTAATGTTTGAATGCTATCTAGTTGTTTTATTCCTCTAATCAGTAGTACATTAGAAGCTACTAATTGATGTCACTTCGGTACTGGTATTCGATTCTCCTTGCTTAATTAAGTGTATTTAAGGTTGGTCTCTTAAGTCCTCGCATACATTCTACCTTTGTCAATCTGAACACAGGTTTTAGCGAGTATTTTAGTATTGGTAGCAGCAAACAATAGTTAAATTTATTGCTCAAATTGTTTCATTCTGAATACATTGAACAGATTGCTTAGATTGATAAAGGTTGATCCAATCTTTTTTCCTTTTTGATCCCAAAGATAACACAAGGAGAATTATTTTCATATTCAGACACATTTAGTAGCATCTAGATGATAATGTCTTAAGTTTTTACACTTGTCTATCCAATGATTGTTAAGATGTCAGCATGAGAACTCAAAATACACTCTTGTACTGAGGTGGGTCAAGGATGATTTTACACACTAAACATATTTTAGTACAAGGAATGATTTTAAAATACAATGTGGATATTATTTGATCTTCAATAGAGTGGTAACCTTCACTGTCGTCACTTTACAGCCTAATAAGAATAGGTTTTAATAGTTTTGCTTGGGTAATTTTAATGAAGGTAGCTGTTGTAGAACTGTTTTTTTAAGTTCCAAATCTAGGACTTCTAGAAATTGTGGATGTCTTCTAGTAAACTTGATTATCCTTTGATGACAACACCTTTCTGATAGTTTTGAGGGATGAATTGACATTTTTATTAATGTTAGTTTTCATTATGAATCTGAAAGTACCCAGTTGTACACATTTACCCAGTTAGAAACTCAATCGTGCAGGCACAAATGGGTGAATACAAGTAGCTGATTACACACATCTTTGCAAATGGCCATTCTAAAATTGTTGCTATTGGAGGAAAATACTTAATTGTTAGTATTCACTTCAAAAATAATGTCCAGTTCTTGTCTTCTGTCAGTTGAAGACTTTTTAGAATTACTTTATAGCACATATATTGAAATGTCAAATAATTACATTAAGATTTTTTTTGTTTTTGTGTCAAAGATGAAAGCAGGTTAAGCTGTCATTATTTTCTAGGTAATAAGCTGACATTGTTTTTTCTTTACTTACTATTTGTCAATTATAATGGTATACAGTCTTCCCCGCACGGTGAACCTTTTTGTGCATCTTTATAAGGTATTCCGTGAAAAAGTACCTTCGTTTTTACTTAATTTCCATTGATTACTTCTATGTTTGTATTAACAACATAATGTTTGTGTTTTTGTTGACCTGCATGGAGTCAAATGCTATTTTACTTGTACATAGACCTGTTAAGTCCTGACAGCTCTTGGCTCATACTGAATAAGATTTTTTGACATGAATGTCATTCAAGTTTCCCTACCATTAGCATCTTGGACAATATTCATTCATAAAGGTGTTGGTTAACTCCTAATCCTGGTCCAGGGTAAAGTAGTTGTTAGTGGTACCATTGGCATGCAGTTTTTGGTTATAAACATCCTCTTATTTTATTATTTGTGGAGGGGGGAGGAGCCGTAAATTTAATGTCTTATTTCAAAATAAGTAACCAGCGCCAAGTTTAAAATAGCAGAGAAATTTGACATTTTCTTACACTGCTTGTACAGCTAGATTTGTTTCCATGCTAATCTCTCTCTCTCTCTCTCCTCTCTCTCTCTTGTCATACATACGTTTTCCAGATTCATTGCAATGACATGTGGGAAATCTTTAAAGATTTAATGTGCTGGTTATTACCAAACAAATAATTTAAAAAGCAGAAGCACTACTATAATTACAGTATGTAGAACAGCCCTCACCATGTATAGATACAAGGGAAGAGAAAAAGGCTGATTATCAAGCTTTATTTCTTCAGCACCACTTTTGTGCTACTCAGGTATATAAAATTATAAAGCTCCATTTTCTGTCAGTTAACCAGATTCCATACACATTACTTGTTCTCTAAGAGAAACACAGCACTGTATTTTAGTTGCATTAACTATATTTTCCACCAAATCATGTCATTTTAAACAATAAGCGTTATTTATTCATATCCATGTAAACAGACTCCTTTGCTTAATCATACCATTTGCGTTTGTAGTTTGCCGAAGCTACACACACCATGCAATTTCACTCGTTTAATCACGTTCATCATTTTTTTTGGTCTTGACAGCTTTTTTTTAAAGATCTCAAGTGCTTCATATAATAAATGTACTGTATTCTCATTTCTATTTCCAATGATTGAACCTTTAACATGGTAATACTATATAAATCCATTGCTACTTCATGTAGCCTACTAGTCATCATCCCGTTCCATGTTAGTTTCTTCAATAAGTTCACGATGGTACCCTGAACTATATTCTTATAAACTCTTATGGAAACAGAAGGAACAATCTATTATATTTCTTAATTTATTTAAAGATATCTTTGGAAATCTTTATTTAAAGACGAAAGTTTCGAAAAGGTCATCTGTTTTCTTGAGTCTTAAGGACAAACATTTGTTTGCTATAATTTGTTTGTCTAAATTGTGGTTGGATTGTGATTATTTACGTTTGCTAATTTCAGGCACTGATAATGTTTGATCCCATCAACAAAAATTACTTTTGGTAAAGTTTGTTAGTTGAAATGCTAATGTTACATGAAAATTTATTTATTAAGAATATGATGGTACTGTATTAACCATTGATGTTTGTTATGGGTGGAGACTTGAGTCGTGTTCTAGCAATCATTATATGAAAGCGTAATTGATTACCCCAAGTTCACACACAAAAAGATATTAAATACAGTAATTAAAATTTTCTTCAAAAGTTTTTGAAATAGCCATTAAATTGTGTTGATTTTTACACTGCTATGAAAGATACATTTGGCCTAAAAGAATTATCAGACTGACAAGACAAAAGGAATTAAGATTTGTATAGGGCTAATTTTATTTGGAATAATTTCATGCCAAAGTAGTCATGATACATCTGGGTAGAATGTGCTGGTAGCCTGTTGTCTACAGGGAAAAATAAAGTCCTGTAAAAGTGATTTTGATACTGTCTACATCTGATGTGTGTGCAAATATTAACCAGCAAAAGTATCTACATTTTAATGAAATTACATACTATATTGTGCTGTACATTATGCTTTTGCTTTATAATTTATTTTTGTATTCATACTTTTATGCTCTTTGATTCCATAAGATATTTTTGTAAATACAGTAATTTTGGAGAAAAATAAATGGTAGTGTTGGAATGCCTAGGACGGCTGTAACTTGGTAGTGCGCGAGTTGATCACCCTGGACTGTTATGTCATAGTCGAGCACTTCTTGGTGTGGACACGAGCTTCTAAACCTATACTGGTGACCCAGGAGATTTGTGTACTGTATTTTATTGTGGTAATCTAATACTTGCCATTAGAATGTACATTATTTCCAGTGGTTAAATATTCTCGTACTGTCTGAAGTTTTTATCCAGATATATTAATGAATCTGATATAATGCATGTTACGCATTCTGAATGTTATCCACATGTTGTTTAGAATGGGGTTCCAGAATGATTACTTGCATATATAAAAGAAGCAAGGATGCAACACACTGAATGGAGGTTTCTAGTTTTCATTAAAAGGCAGATGTTATATTGCTCTTAACTATTAAATAGAAAGCGTCAGCACCATGAAAGTGCTAGAATGGATCTTCCTGACTAGGCGTGTTAATTGTTGGCTAGGCTTCTGGTCTTCCAGAATTGAATGAGGTAAGTATACAAATATTTATAGCGAGCCATATTTACTTTCACTTTTTGATTATTTATCGTGTAGTACCCGTCTCTCGTGTGTGTGTGTATCTGTAACATTCTCGGATTCAATGAGTACTCCAGCTTCACAAAGTTTACAGTGATAGTGACAATTACGTACCATCAGTGTAAATACTGTGATGGCATGTGCTCGTGTGCTTCATTCAGTTTTGCTTTTCCTTGTTTAATATACCTTTACTATGAATTTTGAGTACAAATTGCATCTGGTTCTTTATTCACAAGGGATCAGAAGTCATACCCTAACTTCATCATTGTTGATGCTTTTATTTTGTTGTTGTTCTGTGTAGGATAGTTCCCACCAACATGCCCCAAGGAATTGGTTTAAACATAACAATATACTCGTTAATTTTATGTGGATTGTTTTTGGGCACTTATTGTTTTCTGTATTAACAAATATTTCATATTAAATTCGGTGAACTTTGTTGTCCAGTCTTAATTCTTTATATAAAAATAGTCTGAATTAATCACATTATTGCCTTAAATTGTAAATTGTATTTTACTTTCAAATATAATTTAAAGTACTGTAATTTCAAAGTTTCCTTTATTAATTCAAATAGTTTTACATTTTTACAACTGTACTGTGATAAGAGCATGATATTCTTTCAATTGTAATTAGTTTGTAAAAGTATAGAGTTTGTAGTGGAGCTAAATTCAGATTTTTCAATACTCTTTCCTGTATAATTATTGTTATGGGAAGGATAAGGTAAATTTGTCCTGTATAATTATTGTTATGGGAAGGATAAGGTAAATTTGTCCTGTATAATTATTGTTATGGGAAGGATAAGGTAAATTTGTCCTGTATAATTATTGTTATGGGAAGGATAAGGTAAATTTGTCCTGTATAATTATTGTTATGGGAAGGATAAGGTAAATTTGTCCTGTATAATTATTGTTATGGGAAGGATAAGGTAAATTTGGAAGAATGAACAGACTAGAGAATAACTTTTTTTTTTCCCATAGCTCACTTGTCAGTCACATTATAAAGTTGTATATCACACACACAGCAAAGTTGTGTGTGGGATACACCTTGACTATTGGTGTTAACAGTGAACTGCTACAATGTGATGGGTGATTACAATGTCCGCTTTCTAGTAATGTTATCAACATTTATTTAACGTGAAAATACAGACCTATATAATAATATCCATGGCGTCCATGTGTCGGCATCACTTGACCTTTGCTAATGATGTTCTTTATTAAGATGTGCTCAATATGCTGGTCTGGGCTAAGTTAGCTGGTTATACAGTACCTTGTACTTCATTTTAGTGCATCTATAATGCTAGTGAACATTTTTGGATTTGTTAATGTTTAAATTATTAGGCAACAAAATATTGGCCATATTCAAGCTAATGTTTTAGAGATCATTAGTGTTAGGAATTGTAATTTTTGAAAATTATTTGTGTACTGTATATAGAGCCAATCTTACGAAATTGTAAGCTCTTGCTTCAAGTAGGGAACTGAAGAAAATAGAATTTGCAGTGATTACTACTTGTAAAATAAATGTGAAAATCATAAAGCTTCTTATAATAAAAGAATTTTAGGTCCATATTGACCTACCATAATGCACTGTTATACTGGAATGCATTTGGAGCTGTCATTGGTTTGTGCCAAGAGTAGCAGCTTAAACATTTTAATAGGCAATTAAAGGTATTGACTAGTTTACTCGAGATTAATGTAGTGAATGCTTATGTGTAAACATTAGTTAGGTAAGGCTACTGAATTGCTATTTGTGACACTAAATACAACTATAAACATTACTTCTCTTGTGTATAATGAGTCTTGCCCAGCATTTAAGGGATTTCTTGAAGAAATTTAAAGATCTTTGACTCCTTCAAGTGGGATGCAATGTCCACATTATAGCAGCTTGTATTTATATTTACCAGAAATCCAGTTGCCCAGGAATTACTTGTAGTCACATTGCACTCACTCGAACTCATTGAAGTTTTATACAAGATATGTTTTTACTTCAGAAGGAGATGCTCAAAGTTTCAATAATTTTCATCCTGTAATGTCTTTTAGCCTTCATACTTTATTGACTGTATGTGCAATGATGTATGTAAGTGAGCAAATGTCTTTAAATTTTTAGGAAAAATTTAATTTGTATGTCTTGTTACAGTTTATATAAAAAGGTTGTCATGTAGAACTGTATATTTTACATCATCGTGGTGGATTTGACAAATGTTCAGACAATGTTTCCCATGGAAAACTCTGCCCAAGAATGTGCCATGATGAAAAGTGGAATAAATTATTGTTTTTAGTGTTAGTGAAGTCAGGGTTGAAATTGCAGTTAACCTAATGTAGATAAGGTGAAATATGGTGCAAATAACCCAGTGTTTCAATTTTGATCAACGCATGTTCAAGTGGTCTGTTTTGATATATTTTTATCATTTATTGTACATTACTGGAGGTTCAGTCATGACAAGCCTGTGCCCTGGTGTTTCTTGTATATAGCTAGTATTAGGTATTGTTTGATTGTGCTCATTGAGTGACTTTTTTTTTGTTATAAGAAATATAGAAACAAATTTTATTTGTCTTTACTTTTCCCAAGTGTAATAAATGTTTTGTATCTGACCTAACAAACTTATATATATATATATATATATATATATATATATATATATATATATATATATATATATATATATATATTATAAAATATATCTTATATAAATGATATATAATATATATATATTAATATATATCATATATATATGATATATCATTTATATAAGATACATTATATAATGTATATATCATATAAAGATATATATATATGATGTATATAATATACATATATATTATATAAGATAAATACATATTACCTATATAAGATATATATTATATAATATACATGTATCATATATAAATATCGTTATATGACATATATTATAAAGATATATAATATATAATATATATATCTTGTATATATATTATACAAGATATATATATTATATATAATGTATATCATATATATCTTATATATGATATATTATATATAATATATCTTGTATATATGATATACAAGATATATATATATATATCTTATATATATTATATAATATATATTATGTATCATATATAATATATCTTATATAATATATATATCTTATATAATAACTGAAAACTCACACCCCAGAAGTGACTCGAACCCATACTGACAGGAGCAACGTAACTGGTATGTACAGGGACGCCTTAATCCGCTTGACCATCACGACCGGACATAAGGAAGCGATAGCCGAAGCTATTTGAACCACTTCCCCGCCGGCACTCGGATGGTAATCTTGGGCATAGCATTTTATCAAATCACCTCATTCTTTGGGGCACACGTGAGGAACACAAATGCAAACAAGCCTGAATGGTCCCCAGGACTATATACAATATAGTCCTGGGGGATAGTCCCCCAGGGGACTGGGGACCATTCAGGCTTGTTTGCATTTGTGTTCCTCACGTGTGCCCCAAAGAATGAGGTGATTTGATAAAATGCTATGCCCAAGATTACCATCCGAGTGCCGGCGGGGAAGTGGTTCAAATAGCTTCGGCTATCACTTCCTTATGTCCGGTCGTGATGGTCAAGCGGATTAAGGCGTCCCTGTACATACCAGTTACGTTGCTCATGGCAGTATGGGTTCGAGTCACTTCTGGGGTGAGTTTTCAGTTGTATATAGTCCTGGGGACCATTCAGGCTTGTTTGCATCTTATATAATATATATATATATGATATATATATTACATATACGAATAATTGCCGACAGAACCTATAACCACCAAGCCTAACTACTCGGTATATTCTAGTATGTAATAATATTAACTTATATATGATAAAATACAAATTTTGAAATCGCAGTACGTTAATAAAATTGATAAACGAGTCTCGGTGGTGAACCGCTAGTTGGACAAGCCTAGCCAAAAGTTCCAATTGCTGTTCAGTGTTTGGCAGGGAAGGCAAAGAGGTATATTCTACCATGTTGTACCATATCACCTCACCCACGAGTATAATGCAAGTATAAGTTTGGACGAATTTGCGTGTTTACAAGTTAGTTGTGTGTGTAAACTAAAGTCTTTGAAAATGTAATCGGTTATTACGAAACGCGTTCAGGCATCGCGTCAGACTAGAAATAAAAATGAATTTTGGAGACTTGATTTTTCAATTACCATCGACAGTGAAAAGAAACATAAGATATATTGAGAAAATTCGTTAGAATTATTAATCTTACCTTTTCGGCCATATTTAACATATAATATATATAATCAGATTCTTTATTCAGATGAAGGTGCATACATAATGATAGATTTAAAGACAGAGATACTACATACAATACCTAAAGTCACTAGTACGCATAGCGTTTCGGGCAAGGTGAGGGGGGGGAGAACACTTAGATTAAAACTTAATAGTAATTGAGCTTAAAGTATAAATTGCGTTGAAAAAATATTAAAAATAAAAAAGGGGGGGGGGACAAGGCAGAGAATAGCAATTATACAAGTTGGTCTTGTATAATTATACAAGCAATTATACAAGTCATTGTAATCAAACAGCATTGATTACAATAATAAGACATGGGTTGACATTTAGGGGGTAAGGTAGGTTACATGGAGTTCATTAGGTAGTTTTTAGTTTTTATCTTAAACTGGTTGAGAGAGGTACAGTCTTTGGCATGAATAGCCCCCTAATGTCTTCGAGTAGTTCATGAAATGTTTGATAAAAATCTTGAAGGAGCGGTTGTTTGCGGCCAACAAGTTGATGGGGTTGATCAGGTGTGGATGGGTCCATACAACGGTAATTTGGTGTTGTGAAAACATTGTGGTCGGTTTCTCCTGCAGACAGTTTATGCCTGGTTGGTTGATACCTGGTTGATGGGGGTTCTGGGAGTTCTTCTACTCCCCAAGCCCGGCCCGAGGCCAGGCTTGACTTGTGAGAGTTTGGTCCACTAGGATGTTGCTTGGAGCGGCCTTGGAGTATGCCGTTGTTGTAATATTTGAGGTGTTGGAATAAAGACTGAGAAAAAATGTCACAAGTCTGTAAAGAATGGCACGGTGAATCTTTGGGAATCTTGACTCTTTTCAAAGTATTTGTACTAAAGAACCATGTCGGTCGTACGCCTGCCAGGCGGTACAAAGATATAAATTGTGAAGCTAAGCCACAGAAAAGTTTAGATAACACCGCTCCTGTGCCAGGTACACCGCTCCTGTGCCAGGTAAGTCTACTAGGCTCACCATAGCCCGTGCTACTTGGAACTTGTTCTGAGTAGCTGAATCTATAACAATCACAAAGTTTAATATAGCTAGGCGACTACCTTTATGACTGATGGAGATTAGATGGTTCAGAAAAGGGCTGTGTATTCGGCAGAGTGGTTTCACATCTGGGCCGCTAAAAGGGAACTTGAAGTTTCAAAAGGATCATCAGTTTTTTATTTAGTTCATTTATTATGCACCCCATACCCATCTTGTGGGCGGTATTGGAAAGGGTTACAGAAGCACGTAATGGGCTCGGGGACTGAACCCCACAATAAGCTACGCAAGTTACAATCACACTGTATTCTAGCATTTCGGTGTTTAGCTACCACATAGGAGTGATTTAGATAACTGCACTTGAAGCAAATGTGGTCATGGTGGATATGATTTCATATGATAAATCATAGACTATTGAGTAGTCTATGATTTAGACTACTCAATAGTCTTTTTGAGTAGACTATTGATCCTACTTTGGAACATTCCCCTCCCACACCACCTGTTTTACAACCCTGTGGGTGAAAAACCTGCAGCTGCTTCTGTTTTCAGTCCCACATTGTGGCTTGTTGAGCTTAAAACCATTGCTCCTTGTTTGTGTTACATCTGACCTTTTTTAAAAAATGTTTGGATCCACCAAATTTTTCAATATTAACAAAAAATAACTAATTTGCCGAGATGTGCCTAATGTCTGGTTTGCAGTATTGTTGACCGTGTGGCCCTCAACCATTCCTGGTTTGAAAGTTGACTTAGTTCAACTCCAGGCAATAAAAGTCATTCCAGAACATTCTCCAAAATGGCTATATCTTTCTGAAGATGATGTCTCCATGCTTGGATATGTAGCAAGTATATTTACTATATAATATACTTGCCTCGCACTCTCATTAGCTTGTGTAGATAATGATATAGGTTATGTAAGATTAATAAACCAATCACATTTCCCAAATGTACAACTAATCAGTTAATACTTCTTATTAACTTGATAGAGGATGGTCATGTAACAACTGATTCTACCATTGTAACGGTTGCTATTTGTAACCCTAAGACTGTAATAATTGTATTTTTAACCCCATAAAAACTGGAAAGAGTTCGCCCTCACAAATGCTCAACCCAGTTGAGCATTTGTGATCAACCCACTTTCACGGGAAAGTGGGAGAGATGACCAAGGTGTTAAAGATATCTCTGCAGTCAATTACAATCTGGATAGTTAATAAGGTTACTTGTTTAACAAATGCAGCCACCACTCCTCCCAGTTACTTTTAAAACTTAGGCTAATTAACTCTGTAGATTATTCAACTAGCACCAGTAACTTTGGGAACTTAACCTTTTTTATATATTGATGAACAAATCCACAAGGGCCGTGACGAGGATTCGAACCTACGTCCGAGAGCATCCCAGACGCTGCCTTAATCGACTGAGCTATGACATGGTAAAAAAAAAAAAAAAAAAGTTGAAACCAGAAGTTCTACTGAACTTACTTGGATCCTGCAGCCTCTCCGAGACACAAACCAGGGTTTTACACAACTCCCCCCATGCACTCGAGCTATGTCAATATACACAACTCCCCCACTCGAGCATGGGGGAAGTTGTGTGGTGCAACACAGCCCATTATGTTCAGTCAATTGGTTGTAGACCCAGGAAAGGGTGCATTTGTTAATTTAGGGGCGACGACGATTGTGGGGCTAGGAAGGGGTAGAGCTTGAGAGCAAGGTGCCTTTAGGGGTGGAGTCTAGACTTCACCTTCAAGTATGCAAGAGCCAAAGATTAGTGTCTCCCAGTGTCAACTGGGAGTTCAAAGAGGGGGTGAGTGATCTAACACAAAGCGACATCGGCTGAGGAGAGCAGTGGAAAGGTAATGTCTGCGAGATTCACAGCACAACGGGTAGTCCATCATTAGTTATAAGGTGTTTTCCAGATTCCTTTATAAATTCTTAGCAAAGACTTATAGGTCAATAACAAATACATATTGTAGATTATGATTTCAAATTTATCACACTAATTTGTGAAAGGCAGAATAAGAGAATATTACAAATGGCCAAAATAACATAAATTTCAAGATATTTATGATTATAAAACACTGTACATAGGTTTGGACATAATGTATATACATGTTTTTATGTATTATCTGTTTTACAGTTTTTCCCAGTAAACATCTGCACCTTATGACAGCCTCTGACAATGTTGAAATTATGGCTTGCATTGTTACTGTATTCAAAGTATATTAGCCTTGATTAGGACTGACGAAGAGCACTTAAGACATTAATTAGTTTCTAAACCAAATTTCAGCATATCATTTTATAAAGA